TCGTATGGGATGTCTCCAACTAGATCGAGGGGTAAATTTTCAATCACTGTTCTATAATTATGATGAGGGGGTTGTTGATTAGCACGAAATGAATGATTTGTCCTCAATTCACTGTTCGTTTTTAAATATACTACACGATTCTCTTTATATTTTCCTTTAACGATGCATTTTCCACAACCGTAGTATCCAGTGTGACCCTTGATTCCAGTGACAAATGCACGAGCAGGGGCGTCACATACTATGCTTGACAGTTTAAACTCATATTTTACATTATTAATAACTACACCGTTTTCGATTAAAGCTTTTGTTTCTTGAACAAATTTTTGCAGGTAGTTATCTACGTCACTTGGCTTTTCATTCCCAAAGTAAAGTCCAATAATAAACACTTTTTTCGTTTCAATTACACGTCCTAAAATTGGCCAAAACTGTTTAGATGAACTTTTAAATAGTGGGAGTCCATCAATATTTATTTGAATTTTGATTACTTTAGGGTTTGGTCGAAGTAATTTAATTGACTGCTCAATTATACTTTTATAACCAAAGTGAATATATTGTCCCCCACCGCACTCTTCAACCAGTGATGTTGTCGGGGTTGCTAGTAAAGTTCTGCCATCGACAGGTAATTTTGGTAGGCTTGGTTGTTTATTTAAAATTGTCAGTAATCCATTAAATGCCGATCTTGTTATTTTATTATTCACACCCCATTCTCTTAAATCTTGCTCTAAATTATATGGCACTGAAGCAAATTGGTCTGTACTTAAATTTGTAAACTCATTCACCGACTCAATTACACTATTTTCTAAATTGTCTTCGTTAAAATTGATTTCAATTGTGTTCTGATTTTCGGACTGGGGATTTATTTGTGAACTGCTAAAATTAACTATATCAGTTTGAAAATGTGAAATATTATCTGTTACATTGTTATACATAAATTTGGCTACATTAGCGCTGATTTTCCTAAACTGTGACCTTTTACAAAGACGGAACGTTGGAGTTTTACTTACTCGTCCCATTGTCACAATGGTAGTAATAATATATCAGCTGGATCTGGATATATTTAATTAGTCCTTTTTGTATTCGCTAAAAATTCGCTACGACTTCGAGTTACCATCTTAACAATACTTGTAGATTCGCAGGGATATCGAGAGTAATTCTGACACTAATCGTCCATAATATGTTACATGCTGATTTGCAATTCTCGAATTTTTCTCGAAATCGTATCGATTTCGCACAGAGTGTCACGACGTTTTGTTATGTCTGTTAGTAGCTCAAATATCCCATGGAATTCGATAAGGAAATCTTGTGGATTTCTGAGCGATGTAGACCTCGCTTATATTTCGAGATAATCGTGGGGATTTCGATCAGCGAGGATATCTCGACTTGCCCGTTGGGAGGAGATAGGAATGGTCCTTGAGAAGTGACGACGCGTAAATGATGTCAAACGGATGAAGTAAATAGTCAAGTACACTGCTAACTGGGACTATAAATGCAAATACGAAGATGCACTTCATCAATAGCTCACAAGCGTTTTTCGTATTTGGATTCCATGATGGGAAATATGTTACTATTCAACAGAGATTAAACAATTATCAGCCAGTAATTTTAATTTTGTTAAAAATGTTTCGAATTTTTGGAAACCTTGAAAATATTCGAAAAGGCCAATCCAGTCGTTTGTGAAGTTAACAATTATATGCCGATTCCAACTAAATGTGAGCAATATAATGGTAACTGAACCCGTTAATATCCATGTAAAGAAAAGTTTCCAAAATGGTTCAAACACTGAAAAGTCTGTCGGGTTGAAGTTGGAATAATTGAATAGATGGAATAGTTTCCAGGATAAATGAACATGGTTTAAGCACCATATCACAAGGAGAATCAAGAATCGGTTGTAATTTCTTGCAGTAACACAAAACATTGATTGTTTTAAAGAAACATTGTACGACATTGGGGATGCCCAACAATAGGATCCAATATCTACAAGGGCTATCAAAATTCGTTTGTTGACTTTGCTTAACATATTGTTGAAGTATATGGAGGATGCGAATTTTACTTAAAAATTAATTTCACCAACAATCTAGAGTTCGACTAGGATTACACTATATGAACCATAATATACTTCAAAACCAAGCATCTACATATGTAAAGGTTTCTAACAACTAAACAAAATTGAGGTAAGTAATAATACGTAAGTAATCCTTGCGTATCTACTAAATTACTTCTACGAAAAAATATATATGTATATGTACATATGCATAAGCTTCTTCAACTACCTATACGTCTGTGCTACGTGCTTGTCAATGGCTATGTACTATCATACGTTAATATGTACATGTACTATAGATTTACGAAGTAAGTATACATATGTATATATGTACATATATATCTGCTACCGCTGGTAAAAGTACCTTTGCAGCATGTAGAAATTGCATACGTTAAATTTATTATCAATTCAAAGTTTTGCATGATAAAAGTGAACGAGTTAATAATAAATAAATCGTTATAAGGGCGTTGTACATATGTATGGGTACCAAAGTAATACATAGACATTCAATATCATTTTCATTCACTATTAAACAACTTTATACATAATGGTTTTGTGTATGTATGTCTCTGTATGTATACTCTGACGAAATGAATCAATTTTAAAGTTGAAGAAAATTAAATTTCCAAATTCCAAGTTAAAAGTGTGTCAACCTTATAAACAAATACTCAGACATGTATTTATGAAATTAAGAATGTACACGTGCTATACGTAGAAAATGTTAAAATTGATTTTATAAATATTCAATTTTATAAATTTTATTTAATAAAATAATGAGTTGAATTTAGACCATTACAGCTTTTATGACTTTAAGACTTTATTATGAGGATACCATTCTTTAGAAACATTTTTAAAATCTCTGTGACCATATTTAAAGATGTGAAGTTTATATATTATCATCATAATTAAGTAAAAAAGCAGTGCTCTTATTTTTATTGTTAGTAGTATTTAATGTGTTTTATTTGATTAAACAAAAATTGTGCATATTGTAAAACATCTCCGGTTAGAGAGATGGTGATATTCAGACATTCTCGTAGTCATAAAATAAAATTTACACAACCCAAAAAAATCCAATATTACCTACTTATTCTAACTGTTTCGCACAGATTTCAGCTTACCACTAACAACGACGCTCTCACGACAAGACTGCATTCTCCTCACTTTTCTAACCAGAGTTATTTAGATTTAAGTGGGGAAGAAAGTACCAAAAACCTAACAATTTATAGGGAGAGGCTTAACAAACTACGTGGTATCAATTTATAGCATGCATAGCATGTATTACATATGGACTTGTTTCACAAATTCAAAAAAGTATTTCTTATCAAAAAAAGCTGAGAAGCGTCCAATTTAGGAATGTGGGTTGCCTTTGATATATTTATTTATTCGCAATATCTGAAACCTCCAAATGTTGAGGATTTGTGTGAGAAAGTTGAGATTTGTGCAAAAGTTGAAGTAGTAAGTGTTGCTCATATTGAGTATTTATGGATCATTGCGCATAATTTGGAATTATGGAGATTTGTGGGGCCATTTGTGACACACCTAGTTGAACGCATATTTGATATAAAATGTAACGATTATTCACAACCTAATGGTGGACATGGATCATCCCTCATTTGCATAATTGAAAATCAATGACTTCTTATTTCCCCACAGTCAGACATTATGGCCTTTTCCATTTCATACAAAGCCACTTTACTTTCTCCGTCTACTTACTCAATCCCAACCACCTCAATTTCTCGAGAGGGTGGTCCTCATGCAGGATATAATACATATATACATACATGCACATGTAAATATGTACATGTGTGCATGTATTTGAATGGCGATGATTCTGCATCCCTTAGTTTGATGAAGACATTGTAGTGCGTATACATAAGTCCACAGACAATTTAAAATCTAGGAAAACCAGATGTTACATATAAAACAATACTGGATGGTTATGATGCATATTTAAATATGTATATGGAGTCATAAGTTGGACATATTTGCTTCAGCTAGTCGAAGTGGTCAGTAATTTTTTAGCTAATTGTAAGGTGTATTTAATACTGTTTTAAATAAGTAAGATTGTAATGCTTCATGTATGTATTATAATTATATGGCAAAGATAAATCCAGCATAACAAATCCAGAGCAACAGGTCCAAAATAGGGCAAAGATTCGAGACTCGCATTCTTAATTTCCTAACCTTGTTATCTAATTACCTCTTCTTCTCCATGCAACTCGGAGACGCTCAGAATTAGCAATTTATCTCTCAACTCTCAACTTCTCGTGTTTTGTGAAAATACCGGGCAGAGGAGCGAACACAATAATTGAACATCTTCAGAATGAACTTTTTCTCTCTTCCTTGTACGATCGATGAAACTTTTTCACAGTGTTTCTTGATAATACGCTTAATTGTTCCACTCGTAATGTAAGGTTTGATTTCTCGCTCGTTTTTGATTGTAGTTTTGTCGACAAGTTAACAAAACTCTTTCTTGTTGAAATCACAACTCAAATCAAGAGAAATGGAGTCGATCGAGTTTCGTGATTAGTTTAGGATTCGTTCGATAAAAGTTTATTGGTGCAATGGAAGGAAGGAAGGAAGGAAAGTATGTAGAAAGGAAGGAAATAATTGGTCACAAATTGACGTGAATGAGCTCGACTATGCTAACGGCTATTAATATAAAAAGTGGATGCAACACTTGGGATTAGCTGTAAATTTTATTATACTAAAGTCAAATTAAGACTCTTGATCATCATCGTCATCACTTTATTTTATAAACGTTTGCAAATTAATTTTCACCTGAACTTGAGGTTTTCCTGAAGAGCTGTTGTTATTATGTCTCCTATCATGAGCTAATGTTCTTGGAGGAGTGGGGAGAAGGGAAGATGAGATTAAGAAAATGTCTATGTGAAGTAGTAAAGCGTAGTTTTATGGAGTGGATGGGCTATAAAGTTAGTTGGGGTGAGAGAGTGAAAGCGCACATTTTTATCTGCTGACTGACTGGAATAACGAGTCCGTCTCATCGCCAAACTTCTCAACGAAAAAACGCTCCCAGAATCACAGATCAAGAGCTGGCTGCGTCCCACAGGCCCCACGGACTTGTGCGCTGCGAAAATCATTCCTCTTTTACTATAACTTCAAGTCCAGCAAATAAAATAATGACTCCAACGAAATAACATAACCCAATGTGTATCTACCATAAATTTACAGTGAAAACAAGTAAATATGCATCTGGACACTTGAACAGTTTTGTAAGCTTGTTTTTTTAATTGGAAATAAAAGTAGTAAAGTTATATTAAAATGCAGAGTAGAACGAGTAAAATGAGTAGTAATAAGACGAAAATATGAAACTAATGACCCTTTTGGTAATAATTATAGTAGTTTGGTATAATAATTTTCAAATTGCTATAAAACTTTAATTTTCTGAAGTTGTCATTCACAAGGAATCTTTATTCTTTTCTTTTTCAAGGGGAAAAGTAAAAAAGAAGAAATCCCAAGACAGTCAGGAGAAACTATATCCTTTACTCGTCTTGTGTAATTCTTCTGGCGAGAAAAAAGTTCGAAAATCGTTTTTTTTATTCCCAAGCGATTCTGATTTTACTTGAAAGCTGAAGGAGTCAAGAAAATTAAACCGAGTTGGGTGGTTTAGTTGTAAGTACAATGGTATTTAGTATGGTAATTGTGTATATTAAAGGGTACATACATATGTACATATTATTAGATACGTTTTATTCTGTACATCATGAATGGTCAATTCTTAAATTATGGCTCCCACAAAGTAACATTTATATAGATGACCTATAAAATTTGTGAGCAATTTGTGTATTCATTTTTACACAACGCAGAAGTACACTGTATGATTTAGTAAGTTAGGAATGCAGGCATGTGAAGAAAGTATACAAGCTTAGCTTTCAGTGTGTTCCCATTCCTTTCTCTTTTACCCTTTCAGAGCTAATAAATGGCTGCATGCATAAAAATAAAAATCGAAATCCATTTTTGACACGGGGACCAATTCCCTCGAATAACTCATAATAAATAAACGAGGGGGTGGGGAAGAAAGTAGTCGGCCTAGTTGAACGGGACGAAAGTTTCAGTGTCGGAGTACATGGAAAAAGTGAAAGTTTGGTAGATTCAAGTCGGGAGGAAAGAATGAGGAATTCATCCATCAATCAATTTATGAGCTATTCCCATTCGCACGTCTTCTCACTTTCCACCTCATTTTTTATTTTTTAGAATTGGAAGGAAGTTTTATGACTACCGCCTGTTTATATAACTGCTGGACTGGATATGGTCATGATGATGGTCGGGGAAACAATCTGGATCAGGATCAGATGATTTTGTATTATTCATGCTACCGTACATATAAATTTAACAAGGCCAATTGCCTAATAATAACCCAGTACTCTAGCAAAACTGCTTGGTAAATAAAATAAACCCAACAATGATATTAACTGCATGGTGGAATTTATTTACTATACAAATCTATTATGCACTCATTGTAAACAAAATTGTTTTTTAACGTTCATTTCAAGTCGATATTTTACGTATTTCAAACTTTTTTAAACATAAATTATGTATGTATAATGCGGAAATACATATAAAACAAAAACAAGTGGGATATGTGGATTATTCTTAAAATCGAGTAATTAATAATAATAGTCCATAATTATTGCATAAGATCGTAGTCGTCTCTCTGAAATGTGGACAAGTTTTATTAACGAATTAATTTCAAGAATTCAACCTTATAGTAATGCGCAAATTAAGGAAACGTACGGTGGCGTTGTAGTTGAGAATATGCTGTTTGATTTTTGAGGTGTTGACCCAAGTGACAAAATCTTCCATTGTCCTGCGTAGAGAGATAATATTACTCCAATTCAAAGATGATATGTTGAAATTAAGAGTAAATCATATAATATAGTAAATAAATGTTATAATTATAGATACATATGTGTAACACCTTGTGACGAAGAAGGCAGGGTCATAAACAACTTCTACTCCAACACGTACATGACCTTGTTCTATAAATTTCACAGCGTCCTTGATCGTCTGTGCCATTTTACAACGGACCATAACGACGGGCAGTCTTCTCCGACAAAACGACGATGCCGTTATCTTATCACATAACTCTAGCGTTTCTCTCGTTGGAATAAGGCCGCTTTGATATCTGCATAATATATCATTAAATTAAATTAAATTAAATTAAATTAAATATGACATGTACAGCAATTATGAAACTCACAATTTTTCTAAAAGTTGAGCCCCAGCCTCCAATCTGTACGGGTCTTTGGGGTCCAAGCCTTTAACTTTACGGGCCAACTCTCGAACCTCCCTCGATAACTTGTTGTACCTTGACATCAAGGGAAATTAACATATAAAAGTAAAATTGCTTATAACTACAAGTTCAGATCTGTATATTCAACTTACGCAGTATAATCCTCTCTTTTCTGAATATGATACTTTCTCATAATCTTTACTTCATGAAGATTGTTGTCCGCCTCCCATTTGATAAAATCCACCTTCTTCAACAACTTTTGCTCATGATATTTTAACTTCCGCATGTTTTTATTATTATCAATGTATTAAATAATAATTGCAAAAAGTACTGTAACTAACTACACACAAGTAAAAACCAAATGACAAATAAGTTTACAATTTTCACAAATTTTAATAGCACGTGTAGTAGTAGTTTTTAGTTGGAGGTGTGAAATTTAGTTTGCCACTACCATCACCACCACCGTTCTTGTAATTCAACAAATGCTGAAGAGGTGTCATCACCGTCTAAACTCCCTACGCCACCACGCGAGTTAAACTCTCAACTAGCTGGGTGGAGTCGGAAGTTATGTCCTTGATAACCACTAGTTTCATTGCTTATCATTCAGATTTTCCAGAATATTTCTATTTTAATGTATTATTGAAACCATATTTTCGGTAGTATGAACAAAAAACAATTTCATTTTAGTGTACTGTGCCATTGGAAAATCAAAGTACAATAATAAGTGCTGAGAATGTGTTGGCGTTGTTGTTGCCTTAATTTTGGCACAAGGACGACAAGAGTAAAGTAGTAAGGAATCCTACAAGGCGTAAACTCTCTCAGAAATAATGTTCTTATGATTAATCTGCTGATCATAAAGCCAACTTTGTTCACTCATTGCTTTGCGTTTATCCTATGTCAGAGCGTTTCGCGATGAAACATTTTTCCAGACGAATTTATGCAGAGTTTGACAGTTTCAAAATGTACTTAGAATCAGCCACTCATTGGACTCTACTAATTTGACCTGCATGGATGATGATGACTTGTCGTTGGTGGCAGGACTATACATGCTTGCATTGGTATATTGAGATTTTGAGGGCATCATCATGAGCGACACCACCCAAGCTTTAATTTGCTACAATTTGGTTTAGTCGGAGGACGTGAGACACGGGAAAAGAGCTATTTCGAAAACAACGACAATGACGACGACTGATCTTTCTTCTCATGAAGAACTACGCCAAGCCATGCTGTCCGATGCAAAAGTCGTACAAGTATGTAAATGCATGCACTCGTATTCAAGGGATAGGGTAGCCTTGCTTCGTTTTCAAACGGTGTCTTATTGGTGTTAGTTAGCTTGGTGCCGCAAATAAAATTTCGCACAGCTTCACCAACTGTAATAACTAGATTGCTAGTTTACTACTTCCTAACAAAGTGGGAGCGAATGGTGGGCAAAAAAACATATTTCGGATAAAATTTAAAGTGGATGGTATATAATTACCATTTACAAAATAAATTTCGCAACACGATCATACATATCTTGTAAAAATTTCATTTAAACATTTCATGCAAACAACTTTAATTTTTGGAACTACTATTTACATAAATTGATCTGCGCCGAAAAAAAAATTGTCCAACTCTAGACAAAGTTTGTTACAATATGATGAACAATTTTTCATACGATTTATATGGAGGATTTTCCACGTAGTAGATAGTTACATTGAGTTAGATTTTGTTAAGAACAGGAAGAATTGGGTACAGTTAACATGAAAGGACCATCCACCCCGTGTGTCGCATATGTACTTGCATATTTTTTCAGTCGTCCACGTCAGTATTTTTTGTTGAATGATAAAGGTTGTGGCGTCGACGGATTTGCTGTATCGCCCCCATTGACGATGGTGGAAAGTTTCCTTGTGAACTGAAGTAGAGATTTTTCAAGAGAAGGTTTCCTCTTACCTTTTCATCATCAGCATACAATATTATAATGCAATACCAGTGAGGGAACAAGACATAAATACTACACGCCAGCAACTACACACGTCCCCCAGTCACCATACAGGGTTAGCTGATGTTAAATTGAGATTCAAACGTAAATGTACATGCTTTATTAGAAGAAATGTTTATGAAATAATGCATCAACTTGTTATTTTCCATACGAGTGTAACTGCTACTGGTAATTTCCTCCTGCTAAACCGAAAAATTAATTGTTGTCACACAAGACAAATAAATAGTCAAGTATTTTATATTTTAAAAGCCCAATCCGCATGAAATTTTAGCGTTCATCGCAAAATAGCAGGTTTTAGACAAGACACTTTCAGCATCCCTGTACATATTTGTACATGTGTATATTTATTCCTCTCAATTATTTCATGCAACTTGCACAGAGTTTGGTGTGAGAAAAATAAGACTCTTCGTTGTTTGGGTAATGATTGGTTGGTGGAGCCAATGCAGATTTAGATTCGCATGCAGTGACTGCTAAAAGTGCCACCAATGTTTTATCTCGTTGGTCATGATAACACCAGCCCTTATCCAAAGTTATCTTTCATTCTTGGTCCACACAAACACAATATATACTGCCGAAATGTTAAAATGTAAAAATGTTTCATATAATAGTTTACAGAAATTTGAACAGTATTTGGGGAACATTTCATAGCAATAATCGTGTCCCACAAGTTAAAAAGATGTTATTGGATAACTCAAATAGTGAAAATCAGAATTCAAAAGTTTTTAATGAGCGTTCATCTCATCTTATAGAATGATTCATATTGTACGATAGTTGACTTGGAACAACATTAGTTAGTACTAAAATTTTAATATTGGTCATGTGTTCATGAATATAAGTATATGTATCTGAAGAATAATTAATTACTTAACCAAAAATTGTAATATAAAATCTCGATTTAGATAAATGTATGTACATAAGATAGTATAAAATTATGAGGACTTTTAGAATACAAATAATGCCAGTAAGAATTTCAAAATTATTGAACAATAGAACCCATATATTTACAGATATCTATACTCGTCGCATGTGTTCCAGTTATTTTAGTGTTATCGATTAACTGTAGCCTGTTCATGATTCATAATTTCATCTAAAACTATCGATTTATTTTGTACATCAGTTCCATACATACATACATATGTATGCATACCATTTTGTCTGATATATGCTAACGTAAAGTAATGCCAATAATGTGTCACAATTAATACGGATAATCCTGTAAATATGTAACTTAAAATTATAAGATCGATGTTCTTATCTGGGTATTGTTCATGTAAAATTAAGGAATATCTGGCTAGAAATGGTATTAGTAACTATGTTTCTGTAATCTATATTTGCTCATACGTATATATTATTGGATGACGCCGTTGATTTTATGTTCAGTTTTTCTAATTTTAATCATTTCATGGCGAATTGAATAATAATTTGGAGGGAGGCAGAATCATCGCATCCAGATTCCAGACAGGGCTGTGGTGGAGAAGTTACATAAATTCGGTAGCAGTGGCAGAAGGAAAGTAAAGCAGTCGTGGTGGGTAAATTCGAAAGTTCCTTGGCCCGTTTTTTGGGGAAAGTCGCGTGGTGGATGAGAGAATATATCGATTCGGTGACTCCCTCCACCATCCCCGACCCTCAACTTTCCCCCACCAACCATTCCACCGAACGAAACGCGGCCGACCGACCGACCTTCCTTGCGATAAATAAATGGAAACTCGGAATGAACAAGTGCTACCGGGGAGAGAAGGAGAGACCAGACGACCAGAAGACGGCTTGGATTTCAAGCACCATGAAAAGTTCTTGGCGACGACAGGTCGTACCTATGGCGTATATGTCCACATGTATGTACCGAAAACTCTCACGTTGGGGAGGAGGAAATTTCAGATATGCTTCAAATTGTGTAATTGCACAGTGTAATTAATTTAAACCTTTTTTGTTTGCTATATGAAGGTTAAATTATGAGACCATGCTTTGCTAATAGATTATCATAATTCCAAAGTTTAATTGAATTCAAAGCAAATTGAAAATTTGAGACAATTTCATGTCACCCCTCCTCCGCTAAACCTCCGCAGACTCACTGCTCATTTCATGGATGAAGGCACTATTTTGTGGAGACAAAGAAATGCACCCACATCCTCTCACTCCTCAGTTTTGTAGAGAACGAGAAAATAAAGAATGAGGGAAAATGAGACGGAATTGTAAACGAAATTGGTTTAATCGTAAATGGCATACAAGCATATTTGATACCAGAATCAAGGATGAGTATGACATTATACAAATTATGAGACGAAATTGATCTTCTTCACAGGCTGAAAGCTGGATATCAAGAAAAGTAGATCTCCTTCCTAGGTTTCAGGAATAACAATTTTCTAATAAAGGAATTCTGATTTTATTATTCAGTATAATTTTAATTATTTAGATTTACAGTAATCAATTTAGCATAGCATGGCCTCACAGAAAATATCACTGTTTAGACATTACGAGTTTACATAATTCAGGGTTTCAAAAAGTGAAAAGATAAACCTAAACTGGAAAATACGTACATGAAGAAGCTTTTAGATTCAACATTTGGTCAGTTATTTTCTGTGGGAGGCAGCGAAATACAAAAGGTCCCTCGCTGTCGTCGTTTTCCTGCTGTAGGGCTCGAGGTTTGAACGGCCGCGGGAGGGGACCCTTTTTGTAAATGGGATGCCACAATACGAAATGCAGCAGGGACATAACAACTGCCTGCCTAGTAAATAAGTAGTCGTCCTTTCGTTTCCCTTACACACGGAGGCCAAAGAATTTGGAAGGGGATTAGTTGGGCAAAAAGGGATGGTTGTTGACGTGCAGCTGAGGGGAGAGAGAGAGAGGAAATACAGCATCCTTCTGAGAACTGGTCCATCAACTTGGTGGGAAGGGTATACTACATAATACAAAAATTCGAATCCTTCAGATTCATTCCCATCCAAATCAACCCTGAGGGAAGTCGAACTAAAATCCAAGACGGGAGACTTGAGACATGTTCTCAATTTAGGAATAGTGAGAGAGAAGATTTTGAGACTTTTCGAGGTCGAATGAGAACGGGAAAGAAAGTGACGAGACGAGGTACGATGATGAGATGTGGACCGTTGCTTGTTGGTTACTGTCCCTAGCATTCTATGCTGCCTGCCAGTAACGTTTTCAAATTTTTCTGTTATTCAAAATCGAATTGAAACATTATGAATTAAGCATTAATCCATCCTCTATGTCCTGTACCCGTTGATATTGTATTTATGCATACACATGTGACATTGTAAATATCTACATAATCAGAAATGCATAAATATGTGTACATACATATCTGCCCACACGTCACACATACATGTGTTTAATCAACTGCTGCAAATATTTTCTACCCTGACCAAGAAACCTCTCTTTGTGTTATTTTCTCTATTTTTCCTCCCTTTTGCTTTTCATAGAGGTTGTTACTTAAGGGTCGTAAAATGTAATGTGGAGTAGCGTCGAGCGTTTTGAACTCATCTCATCTTCTCCTCATCTCATTAGAGGAAAGTGGAACCTCGACGTTTCTTTTTATGTTTGACGATTCTACTTGGTCGCATGCGTCAGAATCTGCTGCTGCTGGCTGGCTGGCTCCCCTTTCTCCTCTTCTCGTTCGGGGTGAAAGTTGGAGTTGGGGAGAAATCTCCCGAAACTCGGATCAGAGTCCATTGACGTCTCATCTCCAGCAACCAATAACAACGGGTGAGCATGGGACCCACGAAAACACGAAATGAGAGTGCTTGCTGCTGCCTTCTTTTTCGAAATTTTGGAACTCCATCCATCCAGCCAGCCAGCCAGCCGATCTCATCTCATCCCCTTTATTCTAACCAAGTACTGAACAAAACTAACCATCGACTACTCAGGAAAAAGAGGAAAAACTGGAGACGTGGTTATTTAAATGTTTTATGTTCCAGGTTTGGAAACGACAGAGTGAAATTTAACATTGCGCAGAGAAAATTGGTACAAATTTTTGCTAAGGAAAAATATTTATATGGAAGATGTGTGCATGAATGTACCACAGAATCGAGTCGAGTTCCCTCCTTCTTACCCACCCACCTAAAATTTCCAAAGTTGGTTTGGTCGGTTGGCTGGCTGGTTGGTAGATAGAGAAATGAGATGAAATGAAACTGCATCGTTCCTTTCCTTTCGTTCTATGTACGTACGTATGTAACAAACAAAAACCGAGTCTCGCGTTCTCTCTCTCTGTACTTTTGGAATGGGTTGAGCGAAATCTACTTGACTTTCTCCAGACCAAACTTCAGTTAGTTTCTAGCAGTCGGACAATGTTGAGAAATATATATGGAGAAAGGCAAAAACTGGAAACTCTGACTTGGAACTTATTATTATCCTGCTCTGCTGTATTTCAAAGAGGGACCAAAGAGAGAGAGAAAAATAATGCTTATTCCTTAGCTGGCTTTGCAAGAGCGAGTAGTATAACAAGTCGTACAAGAAATTGTCATGATTTTTTTTTCATTTTCCTCCTTCCAACTTATTCGTAATTTATAAATTAAATAACTCACTCTCTCAATGGAAGTTTCATGCATGTAAATGTTTACAAATTCTTTATTTTTAACAATGACTTCTAGAAAAATATTGCATTTTTTGTAAATGATGATTGATAACAGCATAACATTAGCATATAAGTAGTTTTTTAAAAAATGGAGTAATCCTGACGTTAAATTTGAGTTCGCCCAGTTCCGATTTTGGTTGGTTTGTAAGTGAAGAGTTTTAAGGCGAATAGTTTGAGTTTTGCTTGCGTAGGAACAGCAGCACAGTCAGTTATCCTTTTGGTAAAGTTTGAGTTTGGTTACGAGTTGAAGTCTGGGTTTTAGATAGATTTTCAAGAGAATGTATATGAGACTGGATGGAAAGAAACTCGACGCGCTCCTATTTCACCCCGTGTCGGTCGTCCTAGTGCTGCTGCACTCTTCAGTTAACTCGCTTCTCCATCCGAACCCAACCACGTCGAGCAACTAGCAACCAACATGGCAAGGCAACACACGAAAACCCCAACTTTACTTATACAATCCCATAGGTTTCAATTCTACTCTACATGCGGCTGAAATTTAGCTATGCAACTATTCCTCCAATATTAATTTCCCACGAAGCAATAATGCAACTAGGACTTGGCGAGAAAAATATTTTTTTGTATAAAATTTTGAATAAACCCTGCTTGCACATTGTTTTAAAATGACGACAGTCACAAGAGTGGAAATTTGCTGAAAGTTTTTATACCTACAGCGTGCATTAGATTACCCCGGGTAGGTCGGAGAGAGAAAAAGAAGCCATGAAAGCAGCAGGATGGGTGGGAAACAAAGCGGAGGAGAATATATGCATCATATGAGGAGGAGGACTGACTGGTGCCGTAATTCCGTATCGGTGGTTCCTTCGAACAGCAGCAGCGTTATCAGCCTATCGTGTCGTGCAAAGTTCACTTCTAGCGAGCGAGCGGATTCTCGCTCGCTGTCGTCTCGAAATATTTGAGACTTTTAGAATACTGCGCAGAGGAGGAGGACTAAGTGCAAAAGTGGTTTTGTTGGTGCATATCGACGACGAGAGCGAGCGAGGCTGTAGCCAAAGTTTCGTTAGAGGAGAGAAATAGACGGCCGAGTAGTTGCTGTGTAAAAGCAAAGTTTTATTATTCGACGAAGCCCAGTACTGTGCTCGCACTTCTCTCTCCCTGCTTTTCATGTAATCCTTATGGCCAACCAAGGAAAACCTAGCACAGTCAGTACACACGACCAAAATCATGTGCAATGCTTTTAGCTCGGATGAAAAACGTGTGGAAGGAATACCATTCAGTTCTATGTTCTCAAAACTGAACTCAGCTCAGCCAGAGAGAGAGAAAAAGAGACCAAAAGGAAAATATTTTGAGGGAGCCTCCATAAATTTCGTATGCAATTTCTATACCGGGGCATAACTCTTTATACTACGTTCATATGTTTACATACAAAGCATAGTTATGTGTCATAGTCTCAAGTTGCCCAGCCAAAAATTGATCAGCTTGCCTATATAGTTAGATTGTCAGACTTACTTAGACACTGTATGATATGAACGAGGAACGACACTATGATATTTAAACGTGGCATGTGAATGTCCTCTCTTGATATATAATGGCAACGAGGCATACTGTTTTCAATCCCAACCCCACTACTGCTTCATGCCAGAGACCGTACATACATACGTACGTACATACCAACGAGAGCGACTTTGCCATCGTGAAGCTCTCATGCAATGTTATATGGGGAGAACCTCTCTCACTTTGCCTCAATTGAACACAGCCAGCCCGACAAACTGGTCGAACGGGGAGAGAGAGAAGAAGAAGCTGTCTCATCAAACCTCTACCTGCCTGCCTGCTCCTGCGATAGACGAATTCAAATTTCAAACCGCACTTCCCCCGCGAAACGCTGATAAGTGCTGATAAGCGACGACCCCTCCTCCCCCAGTCTCTCCCACACACGTTGTCATACTCTTGTGCCAAATTATATCGAAACTCTTTCAATTTCGGATACACAAAGTCGTCACGTGCTTCACCTGCTACAGATCACACACTTACCATATACTGAAATATTAACGACTTTTTAATTGAATTTTGACAAGAAGATAAAACTCGGAATTCTTATCGAGGGACGATCGTCACCATGGGCTAGTCCTTCATTAAGAATAAGAATAAGATGTCAAGTGAATCAACCGGAGAGCAAAGAGTAAGTCACATTTATGCAGTTTCTTTTTAATTGAAGTACACAGATCATTTTATACTCGAACATGGAGATTTTGCATAGTTTACTAAAAAGTCCATCCGTATGCTTCCGTAATGTGCATCATCTTTTTTTGTTTACTATTTACATTTACTGATCACCACATGAGTGCAGGAGGGTTTCATTCACATTCGTACACTGTACCATCATCGAACAGATGATGGATTGGAAACATTGTAGTGCTCAAAATTATGAAGTATGTAGTTGATTAGCATTGCATAAAGAGCTTTTTTTGGGAATGCATTATAAATTACACACATATAGCTATACATATATTTCATATTATTATATTATTCAGTTGCTGGAGTCTAGCGTTAGGTGAAATTACAGTGCATTTTACTCTATTAAATTTTGCAAACGCACATATTGCACAGATCTACACATTTACTATTCTTATATTCGAATGTTTTTAAGATGATTTTAATTATAAAATAATAAAATTAGCACAAATAATATTATATAGGCTGGAATTCCTCCTCAGTCTGTTAACTTGTTTCCCATGTATATAAGATACACTAATTGTGTTCAGTTATGCAACACGATTAACAAGTATTTAAGCATAGAGAATTTCTATTAATGAGCACAAAAATTAAGTCATTGTCCTTTATCCAGTACTAAATGCCATTTAAAATCATGGAAATTCTTAATAAATTAATACATGCATATATACATATACTATATGCTATATATATATATATTTAATTATGCAAGATGATGAACTTGTCGGTAAAGGATGCACATGTGTCAGAGTTTGTTGTTATTGGGAGTTAGCGCGTCGGTTATTCAATGTAAAGTGCACTTTAATGACTTTAATGTCTTTCAAGTTTGAGTAGAATGAGATGAGTCTTGAATCCAATCCAATTAATCTGCAATCAAGAATCAACATCAACAATCTGCTCATTCATTTGCTTTATTTACTACGTTCCCTCACGTGGTATCTCAACATAGTATATTCTACTTGTGGCTTTATTATACCTTGTCTTCTCCGTCCGTCTGTCTGCATATGCCATTCTACTCTTCGCAACCTTTGTTTTTTGCATGCATATCCGTTTATCGTATTCCATTGTAGTGGGTTAGTTACTGTTTTATTATTCATTTCATGTTTGGTGCACTAATGCGTTTTGCTGCGTTTGGCAGGATTAATGTGTTTTTATACACACAAGGTAATCACACATGTATTTGTACTCAACCCTCTCTCGCATTTTTATGCGTGTTTGCTCATTGTTTTCTCTCAAACAACAAGTGCAAGTGGTTTGTACGTGTCCGTGCAATTATGCAGAATCAGGAATGCAATATGCAATGCAATTATTGTTTTGAATGGGATGCACTTTGTGGATGGATATATGTTAATAATCTACATATGTAGTTGAACTTTGAATTTATTATTTCACTTTTGTTGTTGTCGCATTCTCACCCATTTTTATACATATATAGTTGTATACTGATAAGGTCATACACTGTATACAGATTCATTCAGTAAATGAATTTAAAGTAAACGTGAATGTGACAAAATTTAAAAGGGTATTAGTGTGTTACATGATATACATTTTAACAACAAGAATGTACATCTATGAATCTTGGTTTAAATATGTTCGTTCTAGAACAAACAATTTGGTGACGATGTACATGGTACACCATCAACAGTTATTATATAGGTATACTCAGCCTTATCAATTTTCCATATTTCACTCTTGAGCTCACAAAATATTTAATGTGATACCATGATGTAATGTAACTAATTGCGAGTTCATATTACTACTCTTAATTTTTCTCGAGTATAATATAAATACATAAATACATATCCACATCATGGAATGGACCGTCCTGTTTGTCACAACAACATCATTTTCAAGTATTGATAAGCCAACCCTAGTGCTGGATAGTTATCCCCCCTTCATTTGAATATGTTCATTGCATCCATCCCACATATGTACTTTGACATTGTTCACTTTCCTCAAAGTTTCGCCATGTTTTCGCCTGTGCAGATTACGTTGTGTGCCAGTTCGTATGGCTTTCTGTCTGTCCTCTGTATCTATCTATGTATGTATGCACATATGCATGCATATGAGATAAGGATGGATAAATCAAGGTCAGTAGTGTGTAAAGGGAGTTAAGTTAGTTAATTGCGATGGAGTGGTGTATTATGCATCTATTTGTTTAATACGTATGTATGCATGCACATTACCAAGTACAGATTATGTTGTGCATGCCCCCACATACACGGGCGGAATCTGAGTAACAACAAACTTTTTCTTAATGAAAGAGACAAAATGTGTTTCCAAATCCTGTGCGAGTACATATAATAGACGGCCAAACTAACTGTTGCACTAGCCCAGATTTTTGGAGGGATTCAATCAAGTAGGTGACAGAAGCATTGCATTGGTCATTGTGATAGCGGGAACACATTTTGAACGCATCCACACACCGATCCGATCTCCGAATCCTAATTTCGGGCAAGAAAAAACTCGGAGTGATGAATATTGCATGGTTTTGTTGGCTGGTGGGGCATAAGACATACACATGGAGGAGGGGACGACGACGACGACGTGTAGCCGGCAATATTTGCCCCACGACGTCCCATCCAATTTTCTAGCCTTGGTCGTTGCGAGGAAAGCTATGGGCTCATTTCATCCGACCAAGAAGAATCCAACCACATTTTATATTCTCCGGATTTAACTCCTCTTGGCTCAGTCTCTCTCCATCCAGTGAAAAGCAAAGTGGATCCAGCAGCAGAAGCAGTACATTACTCTCCTTTGGTGCTGCTTCTGCTGGATGAAACTTAACAAAAATTGTGCCTTTCTCTCTGTATAAGCCAAAGCTATGCCGATGGCTACATTGCTTGGATGGAATAAGCCAGCCAAGAGCAGCAGCAGAGGAGTTTGATGTTGATGTTGGTTGGAGTTTAATAATGGGAGAGAGGCTTTTATGTCGAGAAACCAGTTTCCATTTGGAAAAGGGAACAGCCAGCCAAGCACTAATGGAAGTATTGAGCCAGAGCATATAACAAAGCATACATTCTGCATCCTACCCAATATAAGAGAGGCTGAAACATTGCATACGGTGGCATAGGCGTTCGTAAGAGTGAACACAAAAGAAGAGATAGGCAAAGACCTCGATATGTTGAACGGCATAGCGACGGCGACGACGCGGATTGTACTTCAACCAACGCTACACGTCCCACGCCAGAGAAGGGCAACTTACTCGTATAGTGGAGCAACGCTTCCAATATGAGAATAATATGTATCCTCGCTTGCTAGCAGCGTTGGTCTGAACCATATTGACGTCATGTGAGAAGGACAAAAAAGTTCCCTTCCTTTCTAACTTCATACTCTACTCTTCTAAATGAGAAACTCTATCCAAAAGGGTTAAAGCTGAATTCTAGGTGGGTTTATTCATCAAACGTATATTCTCCTTCTCAGAATGCCCTGCCAAGGCGCTTTAGATCAGCGAGAAATTAGCGCTTTGCGCCAAGTTTAAACTTATCATTGACGCCTTAGTTTTAAAATGCATACACACAGTATTATCATCCGTAATTAATTAGTTTGATAATGTTCAGGGTGCTTTTTGTCAATTTTTGGTCACCGTCACACTGGACGACTCGATATATGTGAAATATTTTTTCAAATTCGAAATTTTGAAACGCCATGTATCAATACATGGCGTTGTTTCAAGTTTTTCAAGTATTTCATTGCATGCATGTTAATACCGGGTTTATATCAACCAGTCCAAAATTGAGCGACATCCACGAGTTCAGTTTTACGTTAGATGCTTTTCCTGTAAAACTTGGCTAGCTAAAACTGGCGTAGGAAAATAAGCGTCAAATGGGTCGAAGAATCGGATGGCCCCCGAGTACATCCAAGCTTCGTTTTTCTCCTCTCCCCTCCCAAAAAGCCTGGTGGTATAGGATTTGGTTCCATTATTACTTTCCTCCCATGATTATTCCTCACTCTGCGTCCTCCCTTGGCTTCGTTCGGATTCCGTCCGTTCGTGAGAAGAACACTTTTCCAACAACCCCACCACCAAACAAATTCATTTCACCCCCACCGACCCATCTCACCGAATACTCATGAAAGCGACGCTGCTGCTGCTGTTGCCCACGCTTTTGCCCCTCTGGCTCGATATCCATTCACTCTACCCAATCCTCATCCAAGTTAATTTTAGCGCCTCAGTTAAAGTTAACTAGTCGTCGTCGTCGGCAGGAGTATGGCGCAAGACTTTCAGTGCCGATTTATATGTGAAAAATGCATATGCACCACATGAAAATAAATGACATCATCATTCATATCCTTGCGCTCCCTTAGGTTATGACTTTGGTTCGCGAGCAAGTATTAAGCCAAAAAGTGAGCATTTAAAAAGGAGTTCAATATACTCCGACTTGAAGGCAAAACCCATGCACCAACAAGTCGCATTTCAACGTACCACCACTGACTTCTTACCGCTAGCTAGGCTAAGGTAAAAGTTGAGATATGTACTCGTCGTTCAACGAATGCGCGAGATAGGTTGCTTAGGTTAAGCATAACAGAGGAGGCGGCAACCTAAGGTAAAAATACAATGATGGTTAGTTAGTTAAGTGGAATTCTTCTTGGGATGGGGCACGTTGAAGCTTGGTTGTGTAAAACGCAGCAGAAGGAAGGGATATGTATGCATGTACATTCATATAGAATTCAACTATTCAACAACAACAGCAGAACAGAACACGATGAGATTATTGGTTGGTTGGTTGGTTGGTTGGTTGAGAGACCTTGGCTTGTTTAGTTCGTCTCACTCACTACTCGCATAGCCACATTTTATTCTCATTTATTTGCTTCACTGTGTACAAGAATCGTTGGTTTGCTGCTTTGCTTTGGTTGGTATCGTGTGTAAAATGCGACCAAATGCAACTCACCATGTAGAGAGAAGAGATATTATAATGCTGGTGAGGAAAAAGCTGGTCTATGTTGAAAAGTGTTATGAACGATGAACCAATCTAAACTTAATGGAACAAGTCTGTCCACCTGCAAACTTGTACACACACATAGCTGATGAGGCATCGCACTAAAATGCATGTTTGCTACAGGAGAGAAGAGAGAGGATGTGTCTATCTCTTCTTCTACATTTATACGTGGATGCGGAATCCTTTGTTCATCTCAGCCCAAACAACTCTGTAAAAATATATGAGTGGACTTGTTGATTTCTTCATAGAGAAGAAACAACAGAATTCAAGACATGAACATAAAAAATATTATTACAATTCCTAACAGTGTCAAATTTCTGATCAGAAATAACTTTAATTTAATTCGGATCATTTTCTAAAACGAATATCATGAAATGATAATGTTCATGACGAAACATATGAACCAGTGACAGGTGGTGGACATTATTATTAAATACAACAATCCAAGTGCCAACAGGTTGACTTTTGTATGTATTCCATGTATTGACTCGTGGAATTTTGACAAATCCAATTGAATCCACCATCGCAAAATTTTTGAATGAAAATATATGTAACACCAATACAAGTTGACAACTCTTAAAATACCATGTTTAATTTATTAACTTTTACTATTATTCATTCATGCATTTCACCAATTCATTCACAATTGCTCAATGGAATGATGAAAGTTTGTATCCCCCCGAATCTGTGATCAACATTAACCAACAAGAACCGAATTTCGAGTTTTAGGGAAAGTCAGATCAGAAAATGATGCATTGTTGTTGAGCATCGTTGGGTGGGTGGGTGGATAATTCCGGTGAGATGTGGGCCGAAGAGGAGGGTTGCTGTGAGGGGGATGAGCATAGCCAGAGTTTTCTGGTCTGAAAGGAACAATTTTGTACATGTTGGCTCGGGATTTTGTCCAAAGAGATATGAATGCTCCTGGAAACCACCCCATTTATTTTACACTAGTGAAAGCACTTTACTGATGTCATGCACTGCTGCTGTTTGTTGGAAAATGAGTCAGGCAATCAACAGATATGATGTGAAGTGTATGTATTTATGTATACTGTACTGTGATGATCCAGGATGGATGAGGATGCAGTTGGAATAGGATTGTCTTGCCTGTGGGGTTGGCCTGGTTTGGTTAGTCATCTCTCTACCACATTTATCCATCCAAACTCAGACCAGATGCATAAAGTGACCCTTCGCTCCTCCAAAAGCTACCCTCCTCTTTTTCTCCCTTTGTGGAGGGAAGAGAGAGAGAGAGAGAAGGTCGTCGAGCAGTAAGGGTTTCATTATTTGTGACGGCAAAAAATCTTTCGTATTTCATTTTTTTCTTTTTCTAATATAAAGATCCCTTACTGATAAATACCCCGAGAGTGGAGTAAATTCTCTGCGACGAGTAGAAAGAAAGGCATAAAAAGGCATCTTTCTTTAAAAATATGGCTTATGTACTAACGCATTTAGATTACGCAAGGGTACCAACATCTTCCTTTCGAACGCATATGTATGTACATACGTCCAAGATGCTCGAACATTTCAACAAACATAGCAGCAGCATCAGTAAATAGAATCTTAGAATGATAATGTGGGAGATGGCGACCCGATATTTTCTGGTAAAAAGTGATACGTATTTTATGAATGTGCATTACAAGTACGATATACATTAGTACTTCTTCTTATGTATCGCTGGTCGTGCTAACTTTCTCCACCAACCCGCCAATGTGTCACTGGCTACTTAATTAAGCGACGTAATGTGCAAGTAGCCTTCAAATTGGTATGAATTAGCCAGCCAATTACTTAGGATTAGTGCTGTGTCCGATTATCTATTTATTTAGTTGGTGCTAAAAATTTTAATTTATTTTGTTTAGTCTACATACTTTTTACAAATCTTTATACCACATTCACCATTTTCTTACGAAAATATCCTTCTTGTTACAGCAAAGCGATGTGAAGAGAGAATTTTCATACTGCTCAAATAATTTTGCATGAGAATTTTTTCTTGGTTTCTTTCTTGCTCGCTCGTTCTTACTGCATGCATGTCACAATTCTTTCCTTCGTTCAGTTCAGAGGCTTCGTATGTATGTGGCAAGAAAGAGCAACAATGAGAAGAAAATGTTTGAAGCATGAAGCGTCGAACGAACCAAGTAGTGCATTGAACATTGTCCAATTGTTGTACTTGAGGGTGTACACCATAAGTACAACATATATACGTACAAGCTGTGCTGTGGGACTGTAGGGTTAGCTACGTAGGTATGTGTACTGTATGTACTGTAGATTGAAATTTGAAATTGAACATCAGCCTCCTAAACCAAACCAAGGCAAAATCCAAAGAGTAGTGGTACGTATGTATACTTGGGATCCCAAAGCAACGCTATTATCTAAATATGTAGCGTATTGCATACGTATAGAGAGACCAAGTTAAAGTAGGTGGTGTGGTTGCTGGTTGGGGATGGTGATGCAGTAGAGGAATGAAAAGTTGTCTGACGAGCTTATTTTATTTAGTTTAGTTAAAGTTATTACTTATAACATTGCATATCATGGTTGTTGAGGACTCTGGTGGATTGTTGCAACCAGAGAATCAAGTGAGAGAGCTAGCCTACACGAAAGATGGAATAATAATAATAATATGTACCAACCAACTAACAGAATAGTACAACCGATCAACTACATATACATTGGTTCACGTTACTTTAGCCAACTCACTTTTCTACATGCATAGCTTTACTCACTCACCTTACTTTACTACCTAAATGCTTTACCTGTTTATCCCTTCTGCTACGCGAGCAAGGCGTTCTCATATTTATTATTGTGTCCTTTCGATGGAATTCCTCTCTACTTGGTTCATGGTTGTACCTTTGGATGACTGCTGGCTTATTGCAATAAAGAAATGCATGAGATGGACAAATTCATAGAGATGTAACCAGTAGAAAATCTGACTGAATCGTTGGCGTTGGCCTGGGTTTTGGATAATGAGTATGATTTTGGGTGGCAAAGTAATGCACAAAACTAATTGGCTTAAAAAGGACATATCTAGTTTGTAAAAATTTATGAAAATTATAAAAATTTTTAAGCAAATATACATTCAAATGATGAAATGCATATGTATTGTTTATGTAAATGAACAAAATTAATGAAAATGGTATGATTTTTTTTATAGATATTTGGAGAAAGTGTGGATCGGAGTGACGGTAGTGGTTTCATCATCAGCAACAAAATGGGAGTGGCATCGCCGAGCGCGAAACGTCGCCTCGGAACTCCGAATGGAGATCTGGATGTCGTATCGGCGAAATTGGCGAAATTTAGCAAAAACCATAATAACAACAATAACGAATTTCCAAGTCTCGCACCAGCACAAGAGGACTCGATAGCTGTTACCACCGATTTTCTCACGACTTCCATCCTTGCCCGAACACTCCTAACGTCATCGTCGACGATCCACAATGGACCCGAGTTGGCGTCGGATCCACTAGAATCCCTCAAGTCCTCGTTAGAAGCTCTTCCTGTTCCCTGCAACAATGGTTCCCTGCTAACCCCATTTCTTAAGGCGACAATCTCTGATGCGGACAACGACGAGTTTACCTCCCTTCTGTGTCATGAATCTTCCCTCACTCCAGTAGCGGTTGTGAATGGTGGTCTGAGGCCTACTTCGTCTCCTGGTATGATGGACATGCATATAAATAAATACGTAGATACATAGATCTGTATATTATTGCATTACTTTTTTTTACGCAAGTTATGCCAATGAAAATTCCCGATTCTCTCATAGGTACCGACTGGAGATCTGTTCTGAATGATGACCACGAAGTGATAACGGAAGAAGAAAATGGAAAGTCTTATTTTAATTTGGGGTCTGCAGATGCAACCATCGTTCGAAAATCTTCCTCCAGTCCCATGTGGATGAACGTCAACTGTAGTACAAGCTCCAACATTGATATGGATGACAATGCGAGTTCGTCTTCTTGTGAGTCGCTCTCCTCATCGGAAGACCTTTTCAACAGCGGCGAAGAGTTTGATGCATCGGACGACGAGGAGGAGGAATTTTCATCGTATAAGCAACAAAGGTCCACCGTTCTCCACCTTTCACTTTGCAAACTAAACAAGTTTCGATCGGTAGGTTAATTGTTCACTCCCTGAATTTAAAATTTAAAATCCTTAATGCTTATATATGCATATACTTATTGTATCATTCGATATCAACAGCAACACTGCGTGGAACCAAGTCTCCACCGTTCTGTCTTAATTTGCAACACGCTGAGACATATTGAGCAAGAAATTAAAAGCGAAGATGAAGTGGACGAGTCACTCAAGTCAAGGGAACGACTACCCTCCTTTTGGCGTCCTACTTCTAACCACCACCCCCACTGTTTCGGTTCCTCCTCACCACCACCATTACCTTCAAGTCAACCCCTCTTGATAACTGATTCCCGACCACTTTTGTCGTTATCATCATCAGCAGCTCCACTTCCCTCCACCTCCGATCCGTACCTGTCTCCAAATCCATACTCAACGGCTAACAATCCTCTCTCTACGACAAGAGACTCCATAATATCCAGTTTGCCTGGCAGCAACGTTGTTACTCCTGGTCAATCGCAGTACCTTTATGAATATAGCTGCCTTCGTCCCACGCCATACCACACGACATCGTACGACTATGAACATGAACAGGATCTTCCTTCTTTAGACACAAGCGCCAACAGTTCTACAATGCTCGAATGTGATTCCGGATACGGTGAGGAGTTGTCCTATGCATACTATGCGACCCCACCTCAACTTCCTCCCCCTCCCCCTCCTCTCCCACCCACCTCAACTAACTCTTCCTCCAACCAGTCGTCCTCACAGCAGCAATCCTCGCTCTCTCTCTTGGTTGACCATACAACTAATGGTTCGCCGTCCTCAACAAACACGATAACTTCCTCCCAGCAGTTCCTTCCTTTTACCAACAATACGGCTACGATAAGTCAGCCCCTGCAAAGTAGTCCGACGACGACCACGACGACAACAGCAATAACAGGTGATAGCAGACTGATGAGTACTTTGGCTGGAGACAAGTCAGAATTTGATTCCTCTGAGGCTGACAGTGATAGCAGTAGTGGGAGCAGTGGGGAAAGCCCTCCTCCTCCCACGGGAGATGAAGTCGGGTGGAACAACACAACCTCACAACAACAATCATCTTCCTCCAAAGACTTGGTTGTGGGGGTTGTTTCGCCATCCCAGTCATCGTCCAGCTTGTCGCCCCCGTTTGCACAACAAGACAGTCAATGTGGGATAGAGTCGAGACGAAGCACTCACCTCAATTTTGCCTCAAACTCAATGCCCATGGACAACTTGATCTCTTCCTCTTATTCGTCATCCTTATAACAAAAATTCAGCTCCAAAAAATCAACAATAACAATAACGTGAAAAAAGGGGTCAACTCAACTCAACATTTTTGTTCTTACTTACCTACATATTATATATGTATAACATTACAGCGGGTCATCGTTGTGCAATAATCTCAAAGCTTTAACTTCCACCACCACTAACTAAATACAGTCTATTATATGTACTTTTTAAATGCTTTCTTATTTTTAAGTTATTTGTCCAATTCTATGTTATTTTTGCTCATGGTGATGATTAGAAATTGAATGTGAAGAGTTTGTCAGCAATATTTACATATAGTAAATCACACGACAGAAACAATCATTAAATTTCTTTCACGGATTTTATACTCGAGAAAAAATCAGATGCATACGTTGTCTCTTTTTTACAATGGTCTCCAAACGAGCTAATAATATGTACTATGCATTTGTGGAGAGTGCATCTAAATATGTAGGTATGACCGATCTCTCAAAACACAGTGCGTTCTGTACTAACATTGACTTTTCTTTTCAATTATGTCCTAAATACAAACAGGAATGATTTAATACTCGATTGATAATACTGAGGACCCAACTTGATCTTTCACAATACTACTCGGCTAGTATGTATGTACTAATTCCTTAATTATACACTCTCCATTTCTTAATATTCAAATTCAAAGTTTAGAACATTTTTCCAGTAGCAAAATTGTCATTCTCAAGCATTCTACTACATATACCGATATACTCTTCACCCTTGAACCGACGAGTATTACATACATATTCTAGAAATAAATTGATAATTAAGTGGAGTGTGGTAACAACAATTACTCTGAGACAAAATTTGAATATGGACAACAAAGGAAAATGTTTACTGATGCTCTGTAATTGCTCCCACCTTGTCACATTTTCAATTACGATTTCCAATTTCGTTATTTCAAAGAGCCAACAACTTGAGTATATATGTGAGTATATACTGATCAAAAAGAAAAAGTTTGTGATTTTGGGACATTTGAGCAAAAGAACGTTTTTTTTAAATTCAAGTCAGTTTTACATTCAGTGCCATTCTATTTCTTCTATGTTATTATATTTTTGGTTCTTAAACTTTGAGACACATTAAAAAAATACATGCGAGTACAAAACAAAATTATGATCCAAACACTTCTGATTCTGATTCAAAAAGTTTGCATAAATCGAAATGGTAAAGAATCGTGTTAAATGATGCGCCTTTGATTTGATTGTTGGTGGATTTTAATTAGGTGTTGACTTGATATATACATTTACGTACGGGACGTATTTTAAATAAAAATTACTTTTCCATGTCAAATGTTGTCTCAGATGATATTAATTTGAAGAATGAAGGGTATACTATGTTGTATGTAGTAAATAACGATTTTTACTTCGAGATAGATATTGTACATTTTCAAGAAAGTATAAGGAGTGTGTTACTGTGAGTGATGGAAACCGTATGACATATGCTATAATAACGATGGCCATGTACTATTAACAATTATAAGAAACGTAAAGTAACGTCAGTAAGTTATTGGTAGCTACTTGGTTAACTTTGATAAGACACAGACAGAAAAAGATAGTTTAACAAATATGTAAGTTAGGTATAAACACACGGGCGTCGTGACAAATTGTACCTAACTCCACAAAACAAATCATTTATTTTTATCCTCGTTTTTAAATCAAGAATAAATGAATTTATACAAGAAATATATTTTTTAGATACATTTTTTACATTAATTTAATTAAGCATACCATAAAAAATCGCATATTACATGAATCCCGTTTCACTTTTGATGGTGTCACGCTCCGATGTTAATCTTGTGGACACATGGTGGTTGGAAATCAATCCCGTCCCCATCCAAAGTAAAATGAGTTTCAACTAAATTGCCGACGAATTGTGCTGCAAAATCTTTTTAACATTCTTTGCAACATTCATATCCGGATGTCGCTTTAGAAAATGAGCTCGAACGTGTTTCATCACAAAATATCTCTCCAAGCAAATGGTGCATTGAAAAGGTCGAAATCCAACATGTCGTCGGATGTGATCTTTCAGATTTCCACTACATGAAAATTTTTTATCACAAAATTGGCATTTGTGGGATTTTTCTTTGTGAATTTTAGTGTGGTAAATGAGGTTTCGATTGGTAATAAAAGTTTTGCCACAAACCTGAAATGCAATGAAAACGAGTCATTTTCATGTTAGGTTGTTAATCAATGATTGAATTACGTACATTGCAGCCAAATTGTCCTTTTGATTTATGAATCCTCTCATGTGACCTAATTGCTGCTTGAGAAGTAAACGTTTTATCGCATATTCTACATTCAATCGAGGGCGAAGTTTCGACTGGTCCAATGCTTTCATCAACATTTGATTGATCATCCGCTGCCATTCATAAAAAAATTGCAGAAGTCACAATTAAAATTTAAGAATATTATTCTAAAGGATGCAAAGTACTAATATTACTCCATACCATTGGTTTGAGATTTACTGTCTACAAATCTAGAAACTTGCTTTAGTAATTGGCTTCCTGGAAGTACTTCTGAAACCTCTTTCTCAATCCCTGTAAAAATCATAAAAAAATTAATCACGATGTAACGATGTAACAAATCAACCAGTACACAGAATATATTTGTTCTTACGTTTTAGCACCTTAGACTTCAACTGAACTTGTTGACCAGATGCAGCAGCAGCTTTGGTCATTTTAAAATGATTTGAAACTATCCCTTCACAAAGAGAGACTCTAATTTCGTTAAATTCCACCTCCAACTGCTCAACCTGCTTGCAAATATCGTAAAGTTTCCGAATCTTCAGTGAACAATTTTCACAGAATGGAAACGAGAGTGAAGTTCTATCATAAAATTTTTGCATTCCTAAGGATAACCACAATAAATCACGAAGGAACAAATTATTTGGGGGGTTCGCATCACTAGTTTTGGTTGATTCCTTTGACATTGCTTCTTTTGGACAATTCAAAAGTTCATCACAGCAAAGGCAGTTTTTGTCCTCTGAAACTAAACCATATCACATCAATGCTTACTAAAAATTAAATTACTCGAAAAATTAAATGTCAATCTAAATACTAATTTTTTTGATTTACATACATACCATAGTCAACTGTGTTGCCGTCATTAATTGTTTCAACTGGGTCACCTTCGATTTGTGGAATAACAGTAGGATTTGGCGTCTGTGTTTGAGATCCAGTCTCTAATTCTTGATTCCTTTTTACAGTTTTTCGCTTTTTTACAGGTTTTATCCGATCCTCGGCCACAACTTTTTCTGCTCTCTCGTCATCCACATACTCCAATGCTATTTCTTGTATCGATGATTGTGTAACGGAACCTGCAGTATCTGAAGTGTGCTGAAGAGACGTCTTGCTTGGCGTTGGCGACGATGTGGAGGAAATGTAACGTTGCCGTCCCCGTCGAGCCGTACGGGTTATCATGCGATTTGCAGTTACAGTTGTTGGCCTACTACTGCCACTACTGCTACTGGACACAGAGCTGGCGACTTGGTAGGAGGCAATGGGGGTCAGTCTTTGACGCTGGTTGGTCACTCCGGAGACCATAATGGCATCCTGAAATTCTGTGTCAGAAAACAAGGCTTTGAGTGCCTTGGGAAGTTGAAGGGACAATTGTTCATCGTGTTCCTTTAACTTGGTAACTGCAGCCCGACCCTGTAAAAAATGCACAAAATAAACCTCAATCTCCTTATTACGCAAAAATAGAACAATATTTTCTAAACTATTTTTACCAATTCATAGGCATCTTGGGGGTGACCTTCCTCCATATTGTTCGTAATTAGAAAATAGTAAAATGCAACTAAATAACTTCCAGTTCCAGTCTTAAAAAGTATTTAAGAATTAATAGATTTTTTTTCAGAATCGCAGCACAACAGACCAGCATATACATAAACCGCACTTGTGTTTAAACTTTCTTCGTTTTTGAGACCAATGTCACGGAATTATGCACGTTGTATCATAATAAATATGTATATGCCGTATGGGTGTAACAGTCACATAATACAGCAGAATTAGCTCTAGAATTAAATATATGAAACAATACCCAACTTTTTCTCTTTTGATGACAATCGAAATTAATAAACTATCAACATTTATGCAGTAGATGGGAGTATGGCATAATTACAGCGATCTAGTGATACTTTTGACCAGTAGTCCATTTACTACTAATGAGTAGATCATGACCAAACATATTATAGCGGTTTCTATTTTATTGGTCATACTGCTCTTTGTGACATCGTTTATCATCAGTATAATTACTATACGGGGTACATTTGATGGTGAAATCAGTGAAATTATTCCAAAGAGATGCAAACGGCATGCGACATACACAAACTTCCTTCAAATGTGAGAAAATAAATTGTCTATGAATCCTTAAAACATAGATATTTCCTAAGTAGTTATAATATCATTGTTTTGGAGGCGCTGAAAAATATAATTTTTTAATGCAAATATATGTATATATATATTAATACATATGTTGTATTTATGCATGGAACGAATTTACAGCACTGATAATCTCACTGAAAGAGTGTACAGATCATACCAGAGATCAATTTACTGTAATCCAAAGTTCAAGATACAGTATCCCCAGAACGTCACAGAATTGGTTGATCTCGTTAAAGAAAGTATTGCCAAGGGGTACAGAGTAAAAGGTGGTATTTCTTCTTTTGAAATAAATACTTGTATAATACATGTTTGTAGTTACTAACCTTTTCTCTATATTTAAAAGCTATTGGAAATCGACATTCAATCACAGACATAATTTGCACTGACGGGGTTCCAATATCGCTTAAAAATATCAATTACACAGAAATTGAGAATGAGAATGACGGGGGGACTGCCAGCTTTGGGGCTGGAATCGAGCTATCCGACGCTCTTATATTTTTGGAGAAGAGAAACAAAACTTTAATACATGTTCCTACTTACGGTTCGTTGTCTTTCATCATCTCCTTGAAATAACGGACACAATATATGTGCCTATAACCTACCTAAATACTTGTATAATTATACCATTGTAATGTATGACTTTTGTACTGCTTGTAAAATTGGTCTAGGTGGTATAACGTTGGGTGGTGCCATCGCGACTGGTGCTCATGGTTCAAGTTTGGTTCATCCATCATCAATTTCGGACCAAATTGTAAGGTTACAAATTATTGATGGGATGGGAAATCTCAGAGAAATCAGTGATCCTCAAGATGTCAACGCATTTCGAGTTAATTTGGGACTTTTGGGAATCATTGTCAAAATCACGCTAGCAATAGTTCCCTTGTTTAAAGCTACGGTACAAACTACTCTGGAACCAGAGTCCATCTTAATGGACGGGACGGCTCAACGATGGGCAAATAATCTGGATTGGATGCAAATGTGGTGGTTCCCTTCTACTTCGAATGTAGTAGTTTTGAAAGGACATTATCATATCAAACTGACTGGTAGCAAGAGTGATGATTATTTGGGGAATGCCACTTCACAATTTATTCCAGAGCTTGATCCGGTTATCATAACCACCGGACACGACGCATATGAGACACTGGAAGCTAACAAAAATAGGCCGGGACTGTATGCCCTTGAACGGTTTACAGAGTTATCCCTACATAGTGAAGTGATTGGAAAACCTCCAATTTTTTCAGAAGATGGTGTAAATATTAAAAATCCTGCAAACGGAATTGCTTGGCGTCTTATGTCCAACAGATGCCATACTTATTGTCCTTGGAATAACGGAAATACGTCTTCAATACTGCCGGAGGAATTCTCAGTCGCATTGCAAATCTTAAACTTGCCAAGTGCTATTAAAACTATCAAGGAAATACTGGAAATTATACCCACTGCTTTTACAATGGTAGGGATTTTCATCCGGTTTTCAAAACCTTCGGACTCTCTCATGGCCATTTCTAATGGCCATGAAACCGTTACATTAGAATGGGCGTCACCAATGAGGGACAATCCTTATGAAGATGCTAAGGGAGGCCTAGGAGCTTATCAAGCAATTCTTCAGTCACTGGTACATCACTTTATCTAATTCCCCGAAGGTGTATGATTTTGCGGTAGACAAATATAACTTTTTTTGTTATTTATATTAGATCAAAAATTACAAGGGGCGACCTCATTGGGGTAAAAACGGTTTGTACTACTTTCGACAAAGTATTCTTGAGGAGACCACGAGCAACTTGGACAAATTCAAGTCCTACATGAAGAAATTTGATCCAGATGGAACCTTTATGAATAACTTTGGGAAGAGAATCACAGGGAGCTCCAATGAGATGAATATCGATCCTCTGGTTCATCATTGCGCTTTGCAAGAGTACTGTATCTGCTCAAAAAATGAAGATTGTGGACATTTTCAGTCCTGCAACAAAGTAAAAGGGTTTTCGGTTTGCAGGGACTTGGCGGATGTTTATAGCGACTCTAATTACGACCCAACGAATTTAACATCCATTCTGTATGCCATTGGTGCTATTCTTCAAGTGGAAGACTAATAAATATTTGCAATTTGTACGGCGATAATTTATTTTCCAAAAGTTCTCACCAGTAATAAAACGAGATAAATAAACGAGAAGAAACAAATGAAAGTTACGTTAATTGCATGACTTATCATCGTTCATCACAATTTATTGATGCATAAAGAGCTATGTATAATTGGAGTGAAATGGCATTGAATTTCATATACATACTTATATGCAACTAATGCATTAGTACATATGCATTGCATAGGTTGACAAAAGTGAAAGCACTTGTTTGATCAAAACTATATTGCCTAAAATTCGCAATCTTATTGTTCGATTATAATAAATAAATGTGTCCGAGTAAATATAGTATGCATTTAATCATCCCAACTATGTTAACTATTAGCTGAATTAAAAGAGATGTGTAGTGCTTATTTGCTTGAATTCTAGACCAAATATTTGGAATACTCTCTTCTGGGACACTAGTAATTAATTACAAAATGAGTGCTTTACATGCAAAACTGACATTCGAACTTGCACATGAATTAAAACACACGCTACAGTCATGCGATGTGACCAGCAAAATTGAATAAACTAATTATGTTTCTTTTCTGTGTGGATGAAAGTTGGTTAGTTGGACCAAAAAGTGCCAACATTACAGCAAGAAGCACCCGAATGAGTGTACGCAGATACTTGTATTTTTGTGATATAAACGATATATAAACTCAAATAAAAATAAATAATATAAGACATAATTTGAATAGATATCATAGCTCACAAAAAATTCTTTACTTTTTCCCTTTTTCATTTATGTAGTTAGTTATCTATAAGAACTGCGAGATTTACAAGAAAAGTACACATATATATGTATCAGTATTTAGTATTTGTTAGTGTTACAAATTATTAACATTATGAAAAGCTTGTATTTTAAAGGAAGTGTTAAAAGTTTGTTGGAAACGTTTTTGGACTTCAGCTTTCTCTTATGCATTTCACCATTCAGATTAAAATCATATCACATCAAGGGATGTAACGTGGAGTTTCCGACTGAAACAGTAAAGGTTCAACAATGGAAGCTGCAAAAGGTTCGAATACATTTAAGGAATTGTAAAAGAATTGGTGCACTTTATTTGCTGCAAAATATATGTAAATATAATTTTTTGTAGGTTTTATCTGGTTTCGTCGCACTGATGGATATTTTCGGAGCAACAACTCGGATCCGCTTGAGCCTGGAGAAGAATTTAGACAATCCCGTAGAGTATTTCAATTTCATGTGGTCCATCGCTTCTACCCTGATGCACGTGGCATTTTATTTCGTTCTTTGGACAAAACAACATCATTTCGTGAAAGCTGTGGAAATTTTCCGGAAGAGTTTTTTCAAAAGGCACAATAACGTGACAAAAAACCTACCTTGCGTGAGATACAGATAAATATTATGTCTCTTACCCACATAAATAGATTGAATATATTTTTGTTCCTTCCTTTACAGGTAGGCGTTGGATATTGTATTTGTTGTCTGAGTCTGATACTTGGGATAATTCCATCGCTTAAAGGGTCATATCTGTTACCTGACTCCTTGATTAACTGGAATATTAACCTTATTTTCCAGGCTCACGTGGCTCATTCAAAATTTATGTTTTTTCTTTCAAATACATCATTTCCAATTGGAAATTTTAATGCCAATGGCACAGATCAAAGTCTTGATGATCTTGAGATTATCTCGGGGATAGGTCACATATTGGTGTATACGATGCGTTACTTGGGGGCCTACTTTATAGATTTGTTCATGATTATGTCATCAGTCACATTGTGGCTGGCGACAAGGTCATTCATACAAACGGCAATGAACCTAAATGCGAACCTTCCACGATGTGCAGGTAAGTAATCAAATAAAATATATAAGACGATATTATTACTTGGCATTTAGATATGACATACATATTCTTGTGATGATTATGATTATTAATTTTGGTCCCTCAAGTAACCACATCACCAGTCTCAGTACCACTTGATCACCATCAGGGTGTCAGCAGACATGGAAGGAAAATAAACTTTGGCGAAGTTGATGGAATAAATTCTGAAATCGTTGACAAATACGCCGATTTGAAATGTTTGTCTGATTCCGTAAACGGTGCTATGAGTCCGATCATCTTTTGCTACGTATTTGAAGCCATATTCTACTACGCAACAAATCTTAACTCTATCTTCACGGCAAAAGATTGGCATGCAAGGTTAACAGTGACCCACTTTTTATTAGGATGCTTCATAACGTTTGGATTTTCTGCCGATATCACCAGAAAAGTAAATTCTCAAGTATAATAAATTCAGAGAGTTTAAACTTTTTGCTATCGTATTTTCTCCTGAGGAAAGACGCCCTGAGTACATTTTAAGAAAAATTAATTACTTACTTGTAAAATGGACATTTTATACTTAGATGGACGGATTCAGGATTTGGCTAGTAAATGGAAATACAAATGCGAGAAAATCGATGGATCAAGATATGCTGATTGCGCTTGTTCATGAAACCCAGTCAAAAACTATTGGCATTTCTGCTTTTGGAATTTTTACGATTGACTATCCTCTAATTTTCAATGTAATACCCAATTTGATATCGGTTTAATAGGTACAAATAATTATAATCTGTATTAATGAATGTCTTTGTATTGCAGATTGTAACTACAACAGTAACATTTTTCTTAATAGTAGTTCAATTTGTTCCTAAACCGTGTTAGTCGACACTATGTTAATATCTACACATTTACTAATTTTTATTCCTGCAGATAGAAAATATGCACATATAAATACATCTTCAAGAGTAAACACTTAATAAAGTCAATTCAAGCTCTAGAAACAAAATAATGTTCATGTATGTAGATAGGTATGTATATGCATATCTCACAAGTTCTTCCTGATTTCATGTTTACGAAGATTCCTTTACCACCTTCAAACGCTGTTCCAATGAAAGGCTTCCATGATAGCGTGGGTCTCTCCATGTAAAAATTTCCAAGTTTGAACTTCACATTTGAGATCGTTAGCAACTCTACATTTGGTGCTCAAGATCCAATCTAAATGTCCCCACTGGTTTTCCTGGAAAGACAAGTTTTGAACACCTTCGAACTCACCCTTTTAGTAATAAGTATTTGTATGAAAATAAAGTACCGAAATTTTGCTCCCAGAGAGAGAGACTGATAGAAGAACGTTTTATAGTATGTAGCAGTTCCATAAGCCATGGTTCAGGCTAAGAATTATAGGAAGACGTCATTACACCCGGAAGCAATTGCATAGTTACTTGTCACTTTTTGCAACGTGGGATAGAATTATTTTGAAATGAAATCGATCTGAATCAAAATTTTCCATGCTGTCCAATATTTGACATCCTAAAGCTTTTGTTTGTGAAACCCTCACATCCTCATTCGTATTTTTGATAGAAAGCTGGTTCGCTGTACATTTCTGAATTTTACTTTCCAGCATTGTGCATACATACAATGATGTGGATTCAGAAATCGTGTCGTGTTCAAAGCTAACGCAGCGTGAATTGTGATCATGAAAGTCGTGTTGCTTTCATCGTGAAGTCAAAGTCATCTATTTTATACTCGTAACCCAGAAGAGGGCTATGCATTGCGCAGTCAAGGGTCGATCGATAAATGGAAAGATTCATCCTGATCTAGAGAATTTGTAGTGTAATGAAATTGTACCTTAAAATTGTTGCACTTATCGCCAGAAACCAGCAACTATTTATCACTTGTTTTACGTTCTATCAAATTAGGCGTAAACACAACCACCCTAAAACAACACATAAACACATAGAAATATATGTACACTACAATGATTGCTTTGTAACGTATTGTTGCTTTCCTGTAGTTACAGAGTGGACTTTTAAATGAGAATTTCATTCTCTTTTTATTCTTCTACATTAGGGGAAAGTGGAATGAAAGTACTGGAAAATTGCCTCCACCTCGGTTTTATTATACTCCCTTAGATGTAAAACGGCACGAGCAGCTTACCTTAATTGGGTCAATAGTAGAAAAAAAACAGCATTTTATTTCCCTCATATAATACTTCATTTATACATATGTATATGCATGGATATGGCATGTAGGTAATAGCAAGTGACATGGAAAACTGAGATTAGTGAGCAGTATTATCTGTATGAAGTATTATAACTTTTGTTTAAGTGTGTAAATTTCATTCTGTAGTTTTTTAAATCAAATAAGTCATGTGTGTTCAAAATAAAAATATAAAACAATGAATTAGCACTGCATAAGGGGTTTCACAAATTAATTTAAGGAAGATTTCAAAAAAGAGATACATACCTATTTGTAAAGTGAGAGAGTTACAAAATATGTAAAATCTGCATTTACGTATACACATATTATGTACATAGATATGTTTATAAATTATTAATATAAATTTGTGTCAGTATTACACAAAATTACACTAGCCAGTCTTGTTTGCTATATTTTTATTAATCTCAAAAATTAATATGATAATAAATTCAGAGCTGCAAATTTTTGCCATATTCTGAGGTAAAATTTATATATTTAGTATACCTATTTTAGAAGAAAGTTACCAAGTTATTGAGGAAAGAAGACAATAATACTATACGCTTCACGTAAAAATATATACACCCTGCAATATATATATGTATGCTAATATTACTATAGCTGATACTAATATAGAAGTGCATTATGCTGATGGAATTGCGGTACATGCAAAATATGAATCTCATCATTCAGGGTTTGATTTATGATCCCGTTGATGGATTGAGATGGTCCACATCGTCAGTGAGCATTCACGCGAATGTTTTTACAATCACAAGAGAATTTTAGACCACGTATATAAATACATATGTAGATACCTCGCAATATTTATGTAGTCCTCCCACATACCTGCATTGTTCACTAACAGTATTATTTAGCTATGAACTATGTATGTACATACATACGTAATTTTGCACTTTTCTGTTGGTGCAAGCAAATTGAAAACATTTTCTCCCATAATATCTAGTGCATACCTAAATTGTAACGTCATGAAGTGTTAAAGAAAGCTAAAATGTGTATATGGTGAAAATTTACTCTACTGCAGAACAAGTGTAGACGGTGGTAACCTTGAAAGGCTTTTTTTACGACATTCATCCATCATCAAATCCTCCCCAACAAACACCCATGCAACGACGAGGAAAAGTGAAGTCATGGGCGGACGAAGGCATAGGCGAAGGTTGCACACTTCGTACCACAACATACGAGCAGCCATAATCTCGTCAAGCTGTATTGAAAGCCGTAGAAATTTACATTGAACGAAACTAGAAGATAATTTGAACCCTTACTGCAGAATTTCAAAGTTCTCATAGGGTTTTTTCTGCATGACTTGGCCTGACTATGCACATAGATAATTTTGTTCGCGAAATAATTTTTAACACGAGTTAGAGCTTAACAGTCACGTTGTCCAGACGAACTACACTTTAGTCTTAAATCGCTACAAGGAATTGGAAGAGTTTGGAGATGATGAGGTCCATGATGAGGTCCATTGGTTGACTGGTGGGGTCGTGGGGGTAAATAGAAGAAAATTTTAGAAATTGTAGAAATTGAAATATGTACCTAAAATTGAGAATTACCGTGCGAGTGTAAATGAAACTTGTAAAGTCAGGAATATTGTTTCCGGTGGGACCAAAATATTTGAAAGCCTTAAGTGTATTTAAAATGTGTAAACTTAGGATCAAAGTGCAAATAGAATATGATGTGTGCTCAAATGATTTAATCTAAACCTGGCTCGGGCTATACGAACTGTACACTGGAGATTATTCTATAATCATTCGGAACAGCTCTGAATTACATGCAAAGACTGTTAAGCTATATATTTATAAGCAGACATAATAAAACGGTTAATGACTTAGGCAGGCTAAATTTAGATAAGCAGCTAGATCAAACTGTGGTGATTGACAATCACTGGATGACATTTCATTCAGTTGTTGTACTGCTTTCACCGTAAGATGAGGAGCTCAGTTTGTCTGTGAGAACTGACGTGGAGCAGCTAAGCAAACTGTCTTTCAATTTGTGTCTCGAGTCTGGACTATGCAGGCTTGATGCGTATTCGAGGTATATTAAGTAGAGAGAAATAATGAAGGAATGTTGACTGCAATAAAGTAGCGCATGGAAAGGTGCCCACCACCAGTGGCCTGTGTGCCTCCGGTAGATAAAAGGAAGTGTGAAGGGAAGATTTCTTCAGAATTTAATTAAATAATGTGAATGTGGTGGAGTCTCAGTCTCAGTCTCGTAGCTGCTGTGGTTTCTCTTCTTCAAACCAACTTTACTTGAATAGTTTTATGAAGCACAACAATAAATTGCAGAATATCAATGAATATTGATGTTGCTTATTCAGCCGCTTGTTAAAAATATTTATTAGTAGCACACTTGCATCGCATCCAATAGAACAAGCTGGTACACCAGACTATAAGAAAGTCAACCACTGATCATACCTCTTGCCATAAACCATTACATACAAAGCATAGTTGTTGCTGATAAGATTAACCTATTATTCAGAGGACTTTTAAAGAGATAAAAGAATCAATCAATTAAGAGTAACACATAATCAAAAATTTCCTCTAGGTTGGGAGAGCAATTGGTGCTTACACCTTCTAATTATCAGTTACGTTAGTCAAATTTGAGATACATATGAACTGACTGCCCACTCAAGTCTCACGTAACAAAAAGTGTTGAGTAATCAAAGAAGTCGGTGGGGTAAGAAATTAGTTGCAACTAAATTAGACATTGAAATTAAGGGAAAGTTGAAAGTGAAAGTATGGTCCAAAGGAATTTTGTAATTCATTTTAGTTCTGGTCGTACCAGTGAAATTCCAAATTTAGAAACGGTTATATTCTTACAATATGCACCTCGAGATTTGATTGAAAATCCCTCCAGAATTTCTAGACAAATCCTCAATATACCTGAAAAGCATTCTCTGAGGCACAAGCAATTCTCTTTGAATTCAATCATTGTAGTGTCATATGAAGGCACTTGTTGACAATCATCAATTGTATGTATCACCCTAGTCTTCATTAAAATTTTAATTACAATTTGTTAATATACATCTATATTCCTCATATATTCTAATCCTTAATTTGATGAAATTCAAAGTCCTTCAGTAAGAAATAATAGTAAAGTAACAGTAAAGAAAATATACGGACAAGTTTATGAGAATTACTGTAGTCTTGTATGGTGGTTAAACACAATTGCATAATAATCAAATAAAAGTGTTATCAATGCACTTTTGCCCAGAATTGGTATTCACAATAAATCATTCTTTCAAGTTCCCCATGATTGCTCCAACACAAACTTTGGGGAGTAATTATAACTACGTATCCCCTCATTTGTAGTTTGGAGGATCAAAGAAAATATTGTCCGAGTTAGATGATAGAATCTTGCTTGAAGCACGAACGATAATACTCACAAATTTGATGAGATGAACCAACACTTGTAATTTGGGCTAGTTTCAGAAATGTTGCTGAATGATATACGGATACATATGTATGTACATATGTATTAACATAGGTCTGCCTGAAAGTGAAGACCTAAAGTATGGGCATACACACGTTATGTACATGTATTTAATCGCATACGTACTTCTACTTTTAAATAGATAAAATTATTATATTACATGTGCGATTTTTAGCTCGAGTCAAGGCTTAATCCTCGGTCCGGTACAGGATAGAGACAAAACGGCTGAACCAATTGAGTTTAGATTTTAAACACATGTATATAAGACAAAGTGGGGGTTAAGTTCGAAGATGAGCAAAATCAGTCAAGTGGTTGACCGTTGGCCGTGTCATAGGGGTATTATGCATTAAAATTTCAAAATGGTGTGAATTTTTTTGTGAAAATAGGCTGAAATTTGGCGTACAGATTGCTAATGAAGTGAAAGCTTCTAAAGTTTAATTGGAGAAATTTTCAATTAGGGGGACTTTAGGGGGTGACCAACACCGATTTCCAGAAATTGATTAAATTAAATTAAAAAGATTAAATTCGTCGAATCGGTAAAGGATGGCCCATACGAGTTTTTAAAGTTGTTATTTTCAGCTTAAATTGAGGCTAAAAATGAATTTTGGATAGCAAATAGATTTTTGGAAGTTCCAGGTTTGAAAGAATTGAGCTCCACTGGTCCTAGTACTCAAAGGGAAGGATTTGTAAATAATTAAAAAACGTGGTGCTAAATAATAGAAAACAAAGCTGATGTGTAACAAACATTCCATGGATGGTAATAGTCTGATCAATGCAGATAAAAATTTAGAATTTTGAAAGTGGACTCTGGGTAAATGCTGTATATTTTCATATCTGCTGTATTGTATATATTGAAAAATAATAATGCGCATAGAAATATATAAAACTAACAATATGCGTATAAAATAGTAATAGAGAAATTATATCGAGAGATTTAGCCATATAATAATAAATATATTCAGATTTTTTCAGATTGGCTTTGAAAAATAGAGTCATATATTAAATTTTATTTCATCTACCTCATCTTATTTGATCTATAATTTAATTCCTACGGGAGAGATAAAGTCAAGATGATTGGGAAAGATCAACATTTGCACTGGCATTGGAATTGGCCAGAATATGTATCGTCTTCTCCCTTCTCCTGCAAATCTCTCGCTCGATGTGTTCAGCTCGTCTTTGCCAAATTTTCTTTATGCACAAGTAAGATGCTGGCATAATACATCATTCCTTCCTAGTGAGCGAAATAAACCGTTGTACCGTTAAAAGTAATAATAATTGTTATATATTTAATTTTGCACTAATGGTGCAGAATTAAAGGCAAAATAGATACATAATGTTGAAAATTTTCTACACTATTTTGCGTTATCGATTGTCCAATACCAATGATCCTACTTGGCTATTCAATGGGCAGTCGGACACGAAAAACTAAGTAGCTTCCATGCTACGCAGGGCGAGCGAATGATAGTTTTGTTATAAATGGAAAAGTTACACGTGTATCGTATTAGACTTTAGACTCGTGTATAGCCCTTTCCATGTACATAACTGCTCACTTTTTACCCCACGCATCGCCACAAGAAAAACAAAATAGAGGCATGACATGTCATTTTCGGACACTTGCGCCTTTGGATGTCAATAGGATGAGGTGCAAAATGATAAGATAAATGTTCGGGAGATTTACCAGCTCATGCACAGAACTCTCGTTTAATTGGATATCTTTGTTTGTGGGAATGTTTGCTTGTCGTGGCTGAACAAAAAGTTTTCTCATTAAAAAACCTTCGTTTTTATTGAATACATTGTCGGATGGAACTGAATTCATCATCTGCAGAAATAATAATTCGAAACTAAAAGGTATACTTTTATTACCAGATCTGATCTGATCAGTACCAATATTATCTATATTATTAAAGAACACCGTGTATAAGACTAGATACCAACGTGTGCCACAAACTGTTTTCAGCATCCTATTCATTTCCTCGATTTAACGTTTTAATGATTCATAAAGTTTGTTCAGTGTAAACGTCCGTATATTCAAGGATTGGAAACAAACAATTCTTAGAATTAGTGGAATACCTGAATCATGCATTTGATTGAATGCATCAATTTTTAGATTAAATTATATGAACATAAATATAAATCTTTAGCTTCCATTGTGTACGAGTCAATTCTGATATATAGTTTTTAGATGGTGTCAGAGAATTGAAAACATCAACAATTGAAAATGCCAGAAAATACGTCCTACACAAATATATGACATTTTGAGAAATATTGTGCATTTACAAACCATATGATACATTGGCGGACATTCTTCGTTCACCTGATTTTTAGTCTCTGAGACCTCCAAATTTCAGAACTTAGTCGACATAACACATAGGAATCATTGGGACAAAATTTCAATTCAATTTCAATACCTAAAGGGTGTTAATAAAGTCCGATCCCATTTTTCCTATAAAAAAGTGAAGGCTAGTATAAAAAAAACTACCCGTGATACTTACAAAAAATGTTCGACATATTTACCTTAGTATTTGGTCTTGTTACCATTTACTTTAACCATGCCCTCAAATCTTTGTTTAAGGCTCTGTGCTAATTTTTCCAATGTGTCTGTGGGAATCGAATTCCATACATCTTGAACTTTTTTTACTAGCTCTTCCCTCGTCCGGGGTTGTGGTTCTTTGTATACATTTTCCTTAAGTATGGACCACAGGTTCTCCATGGGATTCAAATCTGGGCTGTTTCCGGGCCACACCCCCTTGCTCCAGACCGTTGAAACTTGCGTCTTGATGAGACTCAAACTCGCTTTTGCTGTATGGGCTGTTGCACCATCCTGCATGAAAACTATTTTTCTTTCATTCGGAAATATTTCCTTGTTCCCCATGCTATGGAAATAGATAGGTAATATTTTTTCCATATAATACTTTGCATTGACTGTTTGGCCTTTTGGTATGATATGTAGAGGAGTCACGCCACGTGCACAAAATCCATAACTTTAAGCCCGAATTTTGGGACTACTCTTGATGGTACATCCGATTTGTTTTCTGTCCTGTAACGAACATTTTGTTGGTTCAATTTTGGATATAGCTCAATAATAGATTCGTCAGTCCAAAGGATGTGACTGCGCAATTCTTCACCAAGTCTTTTTTCACTCAAATGGGCACTTTTCTGAAGGAGTTCTTCAAATTTCAGACGGTCATCGATATATTTTTGTGACATGAGAGGTTTTTTTGGTTAGTTTGTAAGCTGTGTGACCCCACTTCGTAGTTTTCACAAATTTTTGCACGGTCACACAGTTAATTTGCTTCTTCTTCTCTTTATAGCGTTTTGAGTCATTTAACTCCCTTGCTCAATTACGTAATGAACTACCGGTTTTCTTGCAAAGTCTGTTTTTAATCATTCTTTTTGTGGTAGGTGACACCTTTCTGGGTCGCCCTGGTCGCTTTTTGTCGTGGACAAAATTTTTATTCTTCCATTTCCAAACAGTTCTGCGGCTGCAGCCCAATTTTTGCACAATTTCTGTAGGTTTAAGCCCCTGCTGATGCAATGTTTGTATCTCAACTCTAAGATGCTCATGACTTACACGTTTAGTTGTTCCTCCCATGGTAAAAATTTGAAATAAATAACTTCACTGGTTCAAAAGTTCCAGCTGAATTTGTAACAACCACGCTCCAAAAAATGCATGGGATCGGACTTTATTAACACCCTTTATGTATAACATTAACATATTTACATATAGAATTATCTATGATCCTGCAATGTATCTATAAAAAGAAAGTTTCGCCACTTTTCCGAGTCCCTTGTTTTCAGACCGGAAGGCTTTATAAGAAAGAACGCTTGTCATATAGACAATGGGACGAATGGTAGAAAAATTAGAGCCAAGTCTAGTCGGGTGCTTACAGTGACATTTAGTCGTACTAAATTGCAGATTGTTTTGCTCATATTTACCCAAATCTTGAATGACAAATAAGGTCTGAAGATGATATAAATCTTCAGAGCTGATGTACTTTTTGACTGACCTCAGGCCTTCAATTTGCGCCGCTTTCCAAAATGCGATTTTAGTACAAAAAATTCAGGACCTCCTATCAATTCGTGTTGTAAGGAATGTTTAGTTTATCATCATTTGTAATTATGTATAAATTAATTCCGTGCGAAAGTTTAATATTGCGTTTTTATGTTATAAGTTTTATAACAGAAAAGTATAAACCTTAATAAATATGAAGTTTGAAATAATTGAGTCGAAAAACTGTTTTGAGTTTATTTCGCATCAAATACCTGACTTTTATGGATATTAAGCACCCCAGATTTATTTTTCTTTTTGTAAAACATTCCCAACCATTTTCAATCGTGTTTGTTGAGCTGTAAGGAATTCATTTGTCAGTACTTTCACTGAAGAAATTCTAGTGAATTCCATCCCAGTCGAGATTTCGGCTGCAAAACTCCAACTCTATGCGCTAAGCACATGGAAAGCAGGAGGTCTGAGGAGAAATGAGAAAAGTGGAAATCACGACGTCAACCCAGAAGCAGTTTCACATTCTCGGCCCTACGCGTTGCACTCGCTTCTTCAAGACCACGACTCTCGCCAGTCTCACTTTTCTCCTTGTTTCACAGACAATCCATCCCAGTGGAGAAACAAGACTATCGTTTCTGATATTGCCATCATCAAAACATTCAGCTTTTCTGTGATTCAACGCTATTACAAATCACACACTTATTGAATCACTATATAATCAAGCACGTCAAATACTTGTATAAACCGAAGTGAAATTACATAGTAGGAATATTATTACAATTACACTTTCAGTGGGAAATGTTAAATAAATACGTGCATCGATTTTAATTCCCTAACTGTTGCAAATAGTTTTGCGTTATTGTGCGATCAATCTGTTTTGTAAAACATTCAAGACTTTCCTTTCTCTCCTGCATATCGGCTTCGTAGATATATTTACATACATTGACACTACTCGGAGAAAGTTAAACCGGAAAACTTTGTGTTGCAAGAATAGAGTGGGGCCCGACCGACACCTGTTTAGAATTCCAAATTGACTCAGTGGGACTAAGGATAAACGAATCTTATACAACAAGTCAGCCCACGTTCACTAACTCTGTTGACCAGTATACGTGACAAATGGTCAAATTTTATAGTGAATTTGAGCCTCAATTCGTCTCTCAAACCAAGAAACTGCCTCTTGGGATACATTCTGCAATTTTCAGACTCTAATCTAGGCTGCCAACAACTTAAATTGGGATACAATGCCTGCAAATAAAAGTCACAATATGGTGGACACTGCCGACAAGTGAATACAAAATGTAGGAAAGGGTCTCAAAATTAATACTTCAATCATTGTGCAGAACACAGACAGGTACTGTGTTATCGACACACTGAGACTCAACTCTCTACGATTGTCCACTATTTAATTAATAAGTGGATTAAGAAATCAGTAAGATATTTTAAAAACTAACTATTATTTTGTGAACCGACCATCCTCATTCAGATTCTATTTATCCAGAGCTTGCAACAAGTGAGTCCCATTTTTGTTATAACTACATATGTATATACTTACTACTCGTATAACAATCATGCAAGTGACTGGTGATTTCTGGCTCATAAATTTGAAAGAAAAGGGATTTTTTTATATAAGACATCTTATACATGACATTTATTTTTTCCAAAGTCCACACTTTCTTTGGTCTACTGGCTGAAAGCGTAACAATAAAGACCTGGCAATTCGAGACTACTTTCTTTCCTTTTTGTCTTTTTTTCTATCTTTGTGCTCCTCAACAAAGTTTTTGAAGAAGTTGGTGAAAATGATTAGGAGATAAAAGAAGTTTTTACAGGTGTCATCATTAGAAAACTATACAACATATGCTGGAACAATTCTTATAGAAAGGATTGAATTTCACAAAATATAAATACTTTCGCACAAGTATCTGTAGAGTATAAGTACCGTAACCGATCTCATCGCAATCGTAAGCGAAAAGAATTAAACTATGGCACAATAAAAATTCGCAGCTTTGACATATATTTAAAATCCTAAGTACTTGATGAATTGCGATTGTGGCTAGGAGGATCTTTAAAGAATAAAGAAATCATGTCTGGAAAGAACATTGTGTAAAGAATATTCATATTCCACAGAATAAACCCAGTCATTTTAATTAGAATAGAGATATTTAGACCAACAATCGAAGTATTAGGTTATTGTGTTTCTCCCTATATAAAACCACCCCTATAAATGCTTTCTGTCCAGATATAGATACAGTCAGACAGAACCAAATGATTCAATTTATTTGTTAGTCTCAGAAAATAATTATGGCCCAATCATATATAAACAGTACATGCACAAACATATATGCAAATATCTAAATGATGAACGTATACCAATGTTTTAATAACGGCTACAACTTTACCAGCATATTTCGTTCAGAACATAAAATAGTTTCTACAAATTGAATGACAAATAAAGAACACACGAAATTTAAATAATTAGCAGAACAAATAGCTACTGATTTTATCTATTTATAATTTATCAAGTGAAAACAGATACTAGATAATCCCCAAGGCTTACGCGATTGGGTTTCCAACATTGAGGACATTGCATATTTGCAATTCCCTCAAGTCAAGTGAAACTTACTTAACAGTGTTAAGTTAACACATTCGTGTGGTAAGTTGAAGAGAAATGAACGAGGTACGCACATTAAAAGAGATTTTGGGAATACAAATTGTTACGTAAAAGGGATTCAAACCCGTTTCAATCCTTCCTTTGTATTGAAGTAAGGTATGGTCGGTTAGGAAAGAAACCTTTGAAAAATATATTTATTCGTATGAAAGAAAAATTGCCACTGAGTTGAAACGCGGTAGTTTTCTAGTTCATGCGATTAACTACCCAAATCCGAAAACCGGAAGTCGATATCTCGTCTAGTTCAAAAATGAGAACAAAAAATCGAGAACAAGTCGCAAAAAACATTTGCCACTACTACGAAAAAGTGTGCGAGCGCGTCCGGATGATGGTTTATAGCCACTTCGAAAGAGAAAAAACTCATAATGGTGCAATTTTCAGAGTTTTAGATATGTATGAGGAGAGCAGGAATGCTGAATTCAAAAAATTAAAAAATCGTCCTGCTCGTGTAGCGACCCCCAAAGTGATACGTAGAGTTCAGAAAGAAGACAAAAATAACCTTGGGATATCAGATGGTAATTTGGGCTACAAATTGAAAATAGCAAAATTAAGTTTACATGTTATTAAACCTACGAAGTTGGGGGTCAAATCCTATAAGGCGACATCTGCACCAAAGTACAACCAAGGTCAGCAAAAAAGAGCAAAGTCCAACTCTCGGCAGAATGCTGAAAAACGAGTCAAGCAAAACATGCCCGTGATTCTGGTAATGGATGATGAGACCAAGTGCTCAATTGATCCAGATGAAGTCCCTGCGAGGAAGTACTACTCATATACTAATAAGAAAACGTTTAAAGATTTTTTCAAATACACGCCGAAGTCAAAATTCCCCACAAAGCACATAATCGGGCAAGCATTGGACTCATTGGGGGACGTCTCAAAGCCGTTCGTGACCACAGCCACCATGACCTCGGAGAGATATCTGAACGATTGTGTAAAGAAGATCTTGATCCCCTTTATCAATAATCGCCATGTACTTTTCTGACCGGACACAGCAACATGTCATTCTTCAAAAGTTGTTCAGGATTACCTGCGGTCGAAAAAAATCGATTTTGTTGCAAAAAAGGAATATGCTCCCTACGTCCCTCAGGCAAGACCAATTGAACGATTTTGGGCATTATGCAAGAGAGAATATAGTCGTCGAACAAAACCACCCAAAAACTTGGTAAGATTCCGTCACATTTGGACATACACCTCAAAAGTGGTAGCGAGAAAGAGTGGCAAAGCACTTCTTGGGACCGCGAGGCAAATAATTCGCCAGATAGGAAGGATGGGGGCCTATCGACCATATGAAACAAAAAATTGAATAGTAGAGACCTTGTTTATAACCCCTGAAAATTTCTTTGGAATTAATTAAGTTTTTAGGATTTTATAGGCATTTTTCAAAGGTTTCTTTCCTAACCGACCATACTATAAATGCATTTAAGTGGGCCTCCGTATGTAGCTGACGATGATCATAAGGATGGTGAAGGAAGATTTCTCTATCCTTTCATGCTTGACTAATTTGTTCAGTTGGACTTTCTCGTTCTCGTTACTATAATTCGTCTTTTGACTCCTGGGATACAGAAATAAAATTTCAACCGAAATGGTTAAGGGCTCAAAAAGTTTTTCCAACTTATTCACCTTTCATCTCAGAAAACTTTTAATCATCGAAAAGGTCTAATTATATTTTCAACTTTGTTGACGCTTTCAATGCATTCTGAGAAAAGTATAAATTGGTTTCGTTACAATGCATATGGGTCAATACTTACATACATATGTGATTTTTTGGGTTAGAAATGAAGTATAAAAAATAGTTTGGCGTTTTTAAAAATTAAATTGACAATTTGTTCCGGAACAATAAATGTATTGTTTCGTACTAATTTCCGACTAAGTAATTTATATCTCTCAGATTCAAAATCATTTGTGTCAATCATTACTATCGTTCAAAGTCGTTGCATTTGTAGTACATATTTGATTTATATGTACACGACTCAATATAGACGTCCAAATGTCTTCTGGGAACTACGGAGGAAAGTGAGTGAAAGGCTATCCATAAATAAACTGATGGTCAATACAGACAAGCTAGTTAGAGGAAAAGAGTAACCACGTCGCATACTCGTATGTGCTTACATATATTGAAATGCTTTTAGTATCCTTTTCTCTGAGGATGAGAGCAATCATTTCACATTGAATCACGAATTGGCTGGTTACTTACAGATGCCTTATTGAGTAGATTTCGGTCATAGCAAGCACTCATTTTTGACATTAAAGACAACTGTCGTATTTTCAAACCCAACCGTACGGACAAGTTTATCCGAAGTTTGAGCTAAAGTACAGTATAGATGAAATAAAACATGAATAATTAAGAGTTGTATGCATGGGAAAAAAGCTCAATGCATGTATATTTGTTTGTGCAGATTTGTATATCCAGTTAGTCTGTATGTTAAGGAATTATATATTTAAAGTAGAGTTACAGATGCAACTGGAATCCTATGACATTAGGTTGACCCATTTATGAACGAGCTTTCAACTACAATTAATGCACATATTTTAATAAATCAAATAAGCTCACGAATTGACTTTGACATTACTTTGAAATTGATTAGTATATTCTTTTAAGCATTAAAGAGCTTGTACAATGCTCTAGAATTCTGCTACTTCCTAATGAATACATACATTTGTGCATAATTCTTAGATTCCAATATGCAGAGAAAGCTATGCTAATATTTACTAGCATTACATACTACCTATACATACATAAATAAGAATGCATATTTACATGACTTATGAGCATTCATAAAGGTGGATTATGATAAATAACTGTTAGCACTTCTGACTTCTTCAAAATTAACTGTCTGTAGATCAGTATATGCACAGAACGAGTTTCAATTTTTTGTATAGCTTTATAAAAATTAATTATTAATTTTACTGCAAAAAGCTAATACCCTGAGGCTTAAACACTGGAATAGTAATCTGGATTGAGATAAAAGTTTATAAAACGTAGAAAGAAGACTGTTTACGTGAAATGAAGAAAACGACAGGCATCATTTATGTATCTTTCATCACTCAAATAGCTTACGATGCTTCATTGCACCAACATTTACACATTTCGACGTACACAAACTACAAATACACACTATCCTTTTGCGTACACGTTGTATAGTATACTATGATAACCATAGTTATCTTTTACACATGGTAAATAATACATCTTCTCTCAATAGATTTAAGCTCAATAGATTTCATTTAGCTAACATCAATAACCTTGATTTTGTTAGTGTCTGGAATTGTGTTTATAAAAATATAGTGTCGCTTTTTGGCTTCCATGATGAATGTGCGTCGTGCTTCCAGCAGGCTCTGAATTTCGAAGAATAAATGATATACTGAATGTATGAGTTGTCCGAGATTCCAAAACAAACTACATTTCTTACAAAGTTGGTCGAGAGTAAGAATATATGTAGCAGTGTCAACTGGGTGGGAGTAAACTTTCAGAAAGTGATAGCTTTCTCCGAGGTGAATAATGTGTTAAATGGAGCAAGAAATTCAAAAGCAGAGAAATGAGACTACCACTGAACGGAAACAAATGAGATTGAGCTGTATATTTTCGTCTATTGAATTAAACGCAAAAGGTGAATGCCAAACCAAACAACCTAGAACTTGACTGACCTTGAGTCCCACATACATAAATGGATTCTAGTCCTTTGGGTTTTTGATTATGGCCAAATCAAAGTGATTCCTGGCCAAGTCGGGCGTTGAGATTAAGTCGTATTGTTGGCAGTTCCATAGATTTGGCAGAGGATAATCCTTAGCTCTTCGAACTAATGTAAAGGAAAGGAAAGTAAAACTCGCTAACAAAATTATCTTCC